ATCTGGCACACAAGGGGGCGCCAGCTTCTCTCGGATGCTATTCTAAGCATGCGGCTGGCACCGTGCGAACCTGTTTCTCCCACATCAAGAATGTCAACTTACGGTGCCAACCGCTCTGGGATTTTGCATGCATTTGCGGCGATGCTGCCCACCTGCTTCCTGGGATGTTGGACTGGTCGATTTCGCTGGAGACTGGTCGCACCTTTACTCATCTAGAGATGCAAGCCACGTGCGCCCAAATGATCGAGCTCAAGTCAGCCACCCAGCCCATTCCGGCCCGCTCTTCTGCTCAGGCATGCCTCGGCCAACTGCGAAGCAGACAGGGGCTGAATTTCCATAAGATGCTCTGCCACAGAAGATGCTACAACCCTGGCTCCTCAAAACTGCCTCCCCGTTACGTTTCGCTCGTTCAATTCTTCTGGACGTAACGAAACTGCGCAAGGCAGGGCCGTACCAAGCCCTATCGGGCCAAAAACATCCAAAAACCATCCCACTTCAGAAAGGCAGGTCAGAGGTCCGAGGCTCAAATTGTGCAACTGCTAAAGGAAGTGGGCGCTCGAAGTCTTGGAATCGGCTTGATGGTGCGGGCTCACCGGCCTGGCTCCATCTGCTCCTGCAGCTGCGCCGGTTGTTGCACGGGAGTTGGCACCTCAACTCTCGAGAACTCGCTGTGACTCCCGACGTTTCTGCAACTTGTCTGGATCTGATCTCTCAGCTCAAAACAAGAAATCGGCAAATCGCCCCGGGCCCCAGAATGCAGGGCTCCGGCTTCTGATCGCTTCGCAGGCTTGGGTGCAACGTCGTGAGACGGCACCCTCGGACAACATCAGGCGATGCTTGCAGCAAGCAAGAGAAACTCCAACGTGAGGCCTGGAGGGCCTAATTGCCTAGAGCTGCGTAAAGCTAGCACGATGCTAGCAAATGCTTCTACGGCGCCAAGTTCGCCACATTTTCCCCTCATGCCGAGGCGTGGACGGAACTGCATCACCCACCACGTGATATACTCGAACCGGTGCAGGCGCAGACAGAACAGCTTCGGCCTTCATAGGCCTTGGACTTCACTTCACTGCATCGGTTGTCGAAGAGTCTGGGCTGATGCACCCATCCCCCCCTTTTTCCCCGATGCCTCGGCATAGGCCTCATGCCATCGCCTCAGCTGCAACATACGGTGACATGCTGCAGATTGCTGCAAAAACCGCTTGGCCCTGGCCTCCAGGAAGCCAGATTTGGGTACCCATGGTACCCGCTAGGGTACAAGGGCCTGGTGGAAGATGTCGAGGGTACTCGATCTCTTGGCCATCAGGTCCAAACCGTGGCGACTGTAGCGGCGATTGTGCCTGCCATCAACTTTGCGAGCAAACTCCTCTGCCCATCCACAGTGCAGGATAAGAGAACGCCTGCGGAAGAGCGGGGCCGACTGGGCCGACTGGGCCGCATGGGCCACATGGGCCGCACGGGCCACACGGGCCACCTTGCCTCAAAGAAGGCAGAAGAAGGTGCCAACACATTGAAACACTATAGCAACACGTTGCGACACAGCGTGCATGGCGAAGCGACAAGATCCAGGCATAGGGTGGGGCTCCCTGGCATGCATGTCGAAAGGCATGCCTGAAGCCAGCAACGATGAGTTAGCCGTTCCTTGCGTCCCTTGCGCTACTGCGCTACTGGGATCTACACGTGGACACGTTCTGCGAACATAGCTAAGCCTGCCCCATCTGGATGAGTACATTCACTTAATAGCACACACGCTCATCAGTGACAGAACGTGGCGAAGCTACGCATCAGCAATTCCCCAGTCGATGTGGTTTATAATTCTCAGCACGTCGCAACATGCACTTACGTCAGTCCAGGCAAGTGGCCAAGGCCGTCTGATTCAAGACCCCCAAGCACATGCCGATGGAATCAACGTCTATGTTTACAAACCGATATGGCATCGAAACGGCATGGGGGACGAGGAGTGAAGAGAATGAAAAGAAAGAGAGATAGAGAGAAAGAGAGAAAGAGAGAAAGAGAGAAAGAGAGAAAGAGAGAAAGAGAGAAAGAGAGAAAGAGAGAAAGAGAGAAAGAGAGAAAGAGAGAAAGAGAGAAAGAGAAAGAGAGAAAGAGAGAAAGAGAGAAAGAGAGAAAGAGAGAAAGAGAGAAAGAGAGAAAGAGAGAAAGAGAGAAAGAGAGAAAGAGAAGGAGAAAGAGAGAGAGAGAGAGGGAGAGAGCAAGCTCGAGACGGTGCCTCTACCAGGTCCAATCGGTGGCGGCCTTGCAAGTAGGTTTCAGTTCCTTCTTGTCTATGTGCATGTCTCATGTGCACCAGCGCCTTTCAGACCATGGCGCACCTGAACCGAGAGGTGGCAAACAGTCACTTCTGGTGGAAATCACCAGACGAGACTCATACATTAAGCCATATCAAGGCAGTTATGTCACAGGCCACCTGCGTCTGGTCCTGGAGGCCCCCATGGCCTGGGAAACTTGCGGATTTGGACCGGGGACCACACATGCCCATCGAGGCTCGAGCATATGAGGCCAAGCACCTGACAAGAGCGGAGGGGCAGAGTCTTCCTCTACTTTGTGATGAGCTCGCAGGAAATGTGTAGCAGCAGCGGCAGTGGCCTGCAGGTGGCCGTGTCCTCACCGTCACAACCCATGCATCACCACATGTCGATGCAGCGCACACACGATCAGAATCTGCTGGCATCTGGGTACCCTGCATTTGGCAACCTCGCACATTCAGAATGTTTCTGAACATCGCGCATCCCTAATCCGAAGACAACCAGCAGGAACCTTCACCAATGCCACCAGGCATCATCGGCCTGCTGGCGGCACAATACTCTGCGAATCTCTGCATGACCTGGCAGTTCCCAGCCTACATGGCTCGCCAGGCGGCCAGGGCGGAAAGTCACCCCTTCCTGCAGGCCACGACTGTCAGGACATGTCAGGACCCATCTTGCACTGCCCCACGAGCAGATAGCGTTTAGATTCCAGATGCTAGATGGGTTTGGGAGCCCACAGTAGCGCAAGAAGCCAGCACAAAGCCTTGTATATCGGAAGGGTGCATGGACGGGCCTTGCCTCGAGCCAGATCGCCAAATGAGAAGTGCCAATCACTTGCAAAGCCGGATCTGATTCCGAGGCAATGACTCATGCCACGCTGGAAATGGTGGGCCACCATCGCAAGGGCCGAAAGGAGGCCCCCCTTGACCCTGCGGCCCCAGAGGACCGGACATGCACGGCCCTGGTGGGCCACGCGGCCCTGGTGGGCCGCATGGGCGCGCTGGGCCATGTGGCCCCGGTGGGCCATGTGGCCCCGGTGGGCCATGTCCATGTGGCCCTGGTGGGCCATGTGGCCCCGGTGGGCCATGTGGCCCCGGTGGCCCCGGTGGGCCACGTGCCATCATCGACATTGGCCTGAAAGTCAGCAGTCGACCAGCTCGACTAATGAAGAATTATTGCTAGGGCTTTAGCCTCTCAGGTCTGTCAGGCCACGGAGGACCTCGGAGCACGTCGCCCCTGCATGAACTCCTCCACCCTCGATTCCAACTGCCTGCATCTGGCATGCCCATTCTGCCCAGCCTCAGAGCAATCAGCAGGCCCAACACGTCACAAAACGCCGGATTTTGGTTCGAGTCTGCTGAGTCTGATGCTCATCCGGCCAGAATGGTGGAGAGCCTCGCATGTCGAACTCAAAACGGCTCTGCATCGTCGGCAATCGTCGCACTCTCACTGTCCTCATCTGCCCTCCACCGTGCTTCATGTTCGTGAGTGGAGGTTTTCGGTTGATGTGTGTTAAAAGCCGACCGGTTTTGGCAAGATCTCCCCACCAACCTGTTGAGTTCCTTCAATGAGATCCAATCAAAACTCCCCGATTTTCATTTTGAAACGTCTGACCAGCTTCTCCTTCTCCCACCACAGCCTCGTTTTATTCGGAGCTTTGAACTCTGGACACCGTTGGGCCGTTGGGCTCATGGAGACTGGCAAAATGCTTTAAGCAATCAAAAAACCACCCCGACGGCCTGGACCTTTCGATGCCATGCACACTGTTCGCATTCACTGCTAGATTGCATGGAGAATAACGGACACGGAAGAGCTCCGAGCCTGGCCCTGGCCCCATCGGGTGCATTGGATACCTGGTGCTTCCGCTTGTCTTTGGAGGCTTTGTAAGCCTGGACAGTTACGGAATGCCGAGTGCCGAGCCCATGCGGCCAGGGCGGACCGCCTCGCATCCACTCGAGTCCGACTTGACGAGTCGCTACGCCATTTCCGGTTGAACGGCCTGGCCCTGCATCAGGTGGACCCAGTGGGCGCATCATCCTCAATCTGCAAAGCACCGGCAAGGAAGCAATCATGAGGACTGCTGGGTACCACGCTCATCTGGTAAAGCCCGATGACCTGACATTGCACAAACGGCCCGAGGTATGGCGCAGCAATGTACAAATCTTCTCGGCCACTGTCAGTTCTGGGAGTGTGGCCCCACTCTTGGCCATGGCATGGAAACGGCGGAGGGTTCCTGACACACCGGCAAATTCTAGAGGTTGTCCAAAGATGTCCAAAGAACTTTGAGGGCGGGGCGGGCCCATTGCATGAGGATTCATGCCTGCCCAGCTGGTGATACCGGAAAACGATAAGTGGGACTTGTACGGGGGAGCACGGCGCCTGGCCCCCAAGGGGGCCCAGTCCCAGGCCCAAGTGGCCCAGGTGGCCCAGGTGGCCCTTCGAAGCCGTCGGCTTCCCATGGTGGCATATGCGGAAACCTTGCTGGAACTCAGCACTCAACAGACTCAACACGCTGCCGAACGCTCAAAACCCCACCACGATACCGATGGTCTTGAATCAGCTAAGTACAGGCTCGTTTTTGTGGCCTCACATTTTGATGCCGTTGTTGAGCGGATTCACGTTTCGAGTTTGTGCCTATCGGCGGATGTGAAACGAAAAAACATTGTCGCAAATTCAGCCACCTGAACGACTTTGCACATCAGGCGGCCCGTCTCTGCAAGTCTGAACCTGCAAGCATCAGTCCTTCATCAAGCTGCCAAGCGTTCTGGCAAGGTCATCATTCTCTTTCTTGAGCACCTCGGTCGTTTGTAAAGGATTTATGTTGCAAAACATTGCAGGGTGCGCATGTGTGTGTGTGTGTGTGGGCGCGCGCGCGCGCGCGCGCGCGCGAGTGTGCGTGCGCGTGTGCGTGCGCGTGCCCTTGCGCTTGCGCGTGCACGTGTGCTGCACGCGCGCGTACACAATCAAGCCTTCAGCACTCAGCACTCTCAATACAAGCGGCATCGGTAACAGGAGGCAACTGAGCCAAGCACGTCCATCTCAGCTGTGAGCTGGTGAACTGTTTGATTTAACGCTTTCTTTTCCTGCTTCATTACTGAGAGTTCGGCGTGCAGCGACTTTAGGTCCAACACGTCGGGCTCAGTCAACTCCAAGCGTTGCAGCGTGCTCTGCAGTTTGCCGGATTCGGCTGCCTCCTCAAGGAGCCCGCGCAGCTTCCTCTTGATTGCGGCCAAGTCACCCAAGTCCTCGACCTCAGCGCCCGCTCCGCCACCTCCGGCAGCACCGGCAGCTCCGGCAACTCCAGCAGCTCCTCCGGCAGTTCCTCCGGCAGCTCCAGCGGCAGCTCCGGCAGCAGCTCCGGTGGCAGCTTCGGCGGCAGCTCCGGCGGCCGCTCCGGCGGCAGCTCCAGCGGCAGCCTCGGCCTTCTTCGTGGCTTTGGGCGCAGGCTCTTGCGCTCTGGGAAGGCTGGCGAGAATTCTTCCAAGGTCACCCGAATCCACAGCTGCCTCCGCCCGCGCAAGCATCTCAGCTTTCAGCCCGAGCAACTCACTGTCACGGGTCACGGAGGTCGCGGCCTCCGCCCGCGCCTGCTTTCCAGGCTTCGCCGCCCCCTTGGCCTCCTTGGCCTCCTTGGCCTCCTTGGCCTCCTTGGCCTCCTTGGCTTCCTTGGCCTCCAGAGGCTGCCTTTGGCAAGCTTTGGTCTGCGCGAGTTGGTCCAAAGCTTCTTGCAGGTTGCCAGTAGAGACACTTTCTTGCAAGAGTTCCCTCATCTTTCCACGTAATTCCTGCACACTTTCCTGCTTGCACTGGGGGCTCACCTGATGCAGACCCTCATCTGGCCTAGCATATGACTGCAGCACTGGTCCCAGAGTACCCGATGAGATGGCTTCGTGCAAATGCTCCTTCAACCTCATCTTGACGGAGGCAACTGCATCGAGGTCCTCACTGATCTTCATCGTCTGCTGGCCTTCAGACGTCTTGATTTTCTTGCCGACAGTTGCAAGCGTGTTGTGCAAGGCACCATTGTCCACGGCATCGAAAAGGACCGATTTCAAGTTACCTTTCAAAGATGCAAAGCTATCAAGTTCACGCATCGGTCCTCGCTTCTCTCCTTGCCGCGGTCTCATGTCCTTTGTTTCCGGGGCTGGCTTCTGCGGCAGCCCCACTGCCTGTGCCACCACATCCTCCAACTGTCCAGACTTGTAGGCATCCTCGAGCTTGTTTTTCAAAAGCAGCCGCAGATCCTCCAAGGGATGCACCGGAGGGCTCGGAGCGCTCGGAGCGCTCGGGGTCGATTGGGTCGATTGGGTCGCTTGGGTCGGGGGAGGCTCCGAGGGCTCCGAAGGCCGCGTGGAGCCAGACTGGCGGGGGCTCGTTGCCTTTTCCTTCGGAGCACTGGGACTTGGCGCTTCACATGCTTCACCTGCTTCACACGTGTCGCCTTCAGATCTAGCCCCCGTAGCCGCAGTAGCCCCACCAGTAGGACCCGCCACGTGGAGGAGCTCCGAGCTTGGAGGACGAGGCCGTGTGGGCGAGCAGCTGGGTGGAGGCTCACGGGGCGGCACGGGGGTCACGGGAGCCACGGGAGATACGGGAGCCACGGGAGATACGGGAGTCGCAGGGTTCGTCCGCCTGTCTGGTAAGGCGCTACTTGGCCTGGACACCAACCGCTCTAATGTTCGGGTCTTGCTTTGCGCTGCACTGAGCTGCTCAATCATGTATGCGTACGGATCCTTTGGTCTCACTTGGATGACAGCATGAAGCATTGACTGAACATACCTCAAAAGGCCATGCTGCTCCAAGTAGTCCTTTGCTGAAGCAGCCGCGTCCTTGAAATTGTGGGCTGTGCCTTCCTGTACAATGCACTCTGGCTGGTCGCTCTGTGGTCTCAGTTTGAGGCCGATCACCATATCCGTGGATTGCTCGAAGCCGATACTGTAGAGCTCTTCATGCGGGTGCAGAACCAGTCGCGTAGTGGCCACTGGCTGCAGCACGTCGATTTTCAACGGCTCTGACACCCCTTCGAGCGTCACAGGAAACTTGAGCGGCTGAGCCGTGAGGGTCTCCAACGGAGCCTGGCGTCGCATCCCGCCACAGCGAACAGACACAATGGCATCCTCGGGAATGCCCAAGCAGTGATCCACCAAAACCTCCATGACCTTATCCGAATATCCGAAGGACTGAGGCTGCATTAGAACGAAGAAAAACTAGCTTCGTGATCTTTGCGGTAAAGCAACACTGACAGCAATGCCAGTTCGAGGCCGAGAAACAAACTCTGCAGCAGCACTAGCAGGGACAGCTACATCCCCAACGTAGAGCCGGAAAACACTGCACATGAATGCACATGATCAAAGCAACTAGGTTTCTCGATCACAGCCTCTGCCGGGCTTGACTTTACAGCGTTTCAGCATCAGAACTTTCTGAGGACGACTCGGTCCAGAGCAAGGGTGAGGCCTGTGCGGCGATGTTATAGGGTTGCTGTCAAAGCAAACAGGAACAATGACCACGCACCGTCAACGCATACATCTTGCCTCATGGCAAGTGGGGAGACGATGGGCAAACCACAACTTCTTGAGGAATCTGCCGGCCGGTTTTGGAATACATCTAAGCACTACTGGTTCATGCTTTCTTCTGCGATGATCTAGCCGCCGTGCATTTGTGAACTTATCAACCTCAACCTGTCTAGAACGTGTTCAACAAGGCTATCAAAATAGCTGCGGATCCAGCCCATTGCACGCAAGCTGATTGGTGCTTGTACACGTCCTCACGTTTTCGAAAAACGTTTAACCCACCCACGCGTGCAAGTCACACGCTTTTTGCACACCAGCTTCCATTCCACCATTGCCTGGGGCCTAGACAGACAACCCCCATCGGTGCAAGTCTTCGTTTAACTCTGCCTCATCTGGGAGTCCGTGTTTTCGGTACTCTTGTACCTCAGATGTCATGATCCAGTCATGCACGCGCTCCGAGCGCAGGAAGGGGGAAACCGCTTACTGGAAAAGGGCCAAGACGAGATGCATAGTCATCAATGTGGTGGCGAGCCACATACCATGCCACCTTTGCCTCGGCAAGCTGAAAGCCGAAGCTTTCTGAACCCCCTCTCACCCATGCCTGACCCCTTACAGCGAATCAAGGTGATGCTTGTGCACTTCATGACCTTCAATGTTCTTCAATGTTCTTCAATGCACTGCGAGTCACCATGGCCGTAGAAGCAAAGACTGCCTTCAAGCTCGATAAGACGGCTAATCGTTTTCGCAGGCGCTGGTTGTCTGCCCACAGCGCCAGAGCAGCTTCGTTCGCCGCTGTCTTGGGCTTGTGTACGAGGGGCTTACAGTCCAGGAATCTTTCCCCATCTGGGAACATCTCTATGTCCAGAGACTTGTGCTGCTCGTGCTTCTTGATGACAGTTGCTATCTCCCAACCGCGCGAAGTCTCAACTTTGATGCGCTCGCCTTCTGCCAGATCGCCGTACGCAGCACCTGGCTCAACTTATGCCGTGCCACTTCACAGGACACAGACTTGTCTAGACGAACTGTCTCAGGCCACCCCAGCCAACTGAGCATAGTCGGATAGTTTTCATTGGACTCTGAAAGACTCTGACCCAGCCCGGCCTTGATCAAATTGCGTAGCTTGGTCTTGCAACTTGACGCGCGGGCGCGCAGACTGCAGTTTCGCGCCTTTAGGGAAGCGTGCTCCCAAAGATGCTGTTGTTACCAAAAGTTGCCAAAACCAAAAGGGAACTCATTATAGCAAATCGCAAAGCACAAATGGCTCATCAAGTCCCAAGCAAGACTCCGTCAGGGAAGACGAGATCGACAGTATCGTTCTCAAGCGTTTTTGCCAGTATTTGGGCTGGTTTCCAGCCACTCTCGGTTCCAACCAGCACTGTGTCATTCTGTTGGACCGTCGCCTGCCGTATGGTCAACAAGCAATCATCGCAATGTGCTTAGCAACAAGAATACGGCACGCATTTTCACAACTCTTTGCGTAAAGGGGCGAAACGCCATGGGAAGAAGCGTGCCAGCCCCCAGCTTTGCCTTGCACTGGGCAAAGTTGGGCAAAGTGCAGCAGTGCAATCGTTCGAACTTTTTGCGAATCTGCGAAATGCAGAAAGGTCCGGCCTCACATGCAGGCCGGCACGCGCGCTTGGAGCTATCAACTCCAAGTCCAACACGCCCTGCGAGGACTCCGTGGGATCACAAAGCGGGCGAATAGCGAAAGACTTCTTCAACATAGCTGGGAAAATGGCAACTTGCAGAAAGGGGCAGAAAGAGACATGAGCACACAAAGCCGAGTTTTAAGCTGAGGAGCCGTCTGCGGATTCAGGGCTTGAACCACGCAGGGCTCCCACGAGGTGCTTTTCCGGACATCGGAGCCGTTCACAACCACTTCAAGACGATCTCCTCGAACACGCGCTCTGACCTAGATTGAATCTTATTGGTTTATTGCTACCTCTTTGGCCTTGAGCACAAGTCCTTCGCCAACTGCATCAAAGGGGACGATGGGGCTGGCCAGCACATCCTCCAAACCTGCTGCACGCACTGAATGCAGATTGATCTAGGCTGATAACTTGATACAGCTGGGATAGCCAGCACTGTTGTGGTCGCACCGTCCCGAGGCAGCAGTGTGGTGTGGTTCAGACCATCTGAAAATAGTACTCTCTTGTCCTCCACGCAGTGACAAGGGCACTCAACCAAGCACGCTTTGCCATTTTGCCTGCCACGTGCGTGCAACGTGCGGCACCTCAAAGAAGGGCAAGACATCCGGAAACACCTCGTTCTTGATAGCCTGGCCGCTTTGCTGCTTTCCACCTCTCCCATTTCGCGCCCTGGAGATGCCATGCACAGCCTGGAAGACGTCGACGGCGTCAGGATGAAAGGAAACGACCTCGAAACACGCCAGGCAGTCATTGTCTTCGTACTCCACACATGCCTATTGCAGGCCCAGGAGCCCCCAACTATTTGAGCTGTCCGGCTGCCAAAGTTCGACCCGCCACTAGACTTCGTGGCAAAACACGGCCGTAGCTGAGCATTACATGCTCTGGCTGACTACTTCTTCCCAGCGTTGCACCGAAATTCTCCTGACAGTTCGACGGCATTTGAATCTTTGATCATGACATATCGCGACATTGAGCATGTTGAGCTCGTGGAACCGTATCGGTGGCAAACGCTGGCAAACTATCCTGTAGTGGCCTGGCTTCTCTTGTGCTCTTGGAGCAAATTAAGCCTTAGGCTCGACTAACTGCGTGACCGGTTACACCGCACAGCAGCCTGTGATTTCATCACAGCCGCGGGAACAGCCCAGATCACTTGTCCGGAAGCGACGAGACGACACTATAGATTCGCATCATAGCATCGTGAAACCTGAGACAGCATGCGCCGCGTTTTTGCGATGGGAAAACCTTGTTCGAGGCCACCTAGAACAAAGCACAACCTTGTCTGATCGCCGCTGCTTCGGAGTTTGCTTCTGTCGGGCACTGAGCGACTCTGTGGGCAGCGGCTCCCCATCGACATGGGTCACAATCCACTTGGGCTGGATCTTGGCGTGGTCCGCATGGGAGTCCTGCAGCTACTTTGGGGTTTTGCCTGACAGCCTGATAGAAGGGGTCTGGGGCCTGGGGCAGAACGTCCCGAACTTACCCTCAGTGCACAGTTGCGGAGCAGGGCTGCAAGCCGCATCAAGAGCTACCTCCTGGAACCCACCCACTCCGACAGTTGCTGGGCTGACCGATCACTGAAGACTTCGAGACAGCACAAGACCTTAACCGGACAAGGATACGCGTGGCCCCGGCGGAAGGCATAGTCTTGCACAGGGCCTGTCTAAAGATTCTAGCGCCTATTTTGCTACACTGCAAAAACACAAACTCCAGTCTTTAATTTAAACCTCTTTTGTGCCCATTTTTTGCTTGAGCCTCACTGTACTTGAACATCTTCTTCACGCCTTCAGTTTGCTTCAACATTCTTTACGCTCGTTTGTAACAAATGCACTTTTCACAAGGCTCCGAAGACAGAACAACTGCTTTGAAGTCCTTCGGCCTCCAAGCCCGACTTGAGAACCTCCCCCCCCCCCCACCCCGCCCTCCTGTTTTCCAGTGGTTTCGGAAGGGCAGGCCTCTCTTGGCCTCCCCCCAAACCAAACACAGGATTCTCAATTTCAACCCCTGCCCTCTTTGCCTCGGCCATTTTCTGGTCGCAAGGTTGCCCGTCGTGAGCACATCACCGTTTCAATATCAAAGTTTCTCAAGACTCAACACCGTAGTATGAGTATAGCGCCACCTGCTTCACCGCAGCAATTTCGAGAGCGTTTTGCAGATACGGTTCGTTACGGTTCCACATACTAGTGACGGGCCATGCCATCCCATGGGCCGCTCAGGCAGATCACACTTTGATACAAGAACGACTTTCCAAACACGATGGCGGCAGAAGCGTGTCGGAGGTTTTGGCCGGGTTGAGATAGGAGGAATGGAGATTTCCAGCAGGCAAAGCGTGAAGGAATGTCTGCATGAAGCACGTCTTCAGTCCTTCTTCACGTACTTGACGGTCATCGGAATGGACTTGCTGAAGTCCAGGCCCAGCGGCTTGGATGGAAAGAAGATTTCCTCCGAAACGCAGCGCTCTATTCCAACACACAGCTGCATGCTGTGCATGCTGCATCTTGCCAATTCTTCTCAGGCAAAAGGCCTTTGGTGCCTACTTTGAGTTTCCACCGGTGCCTTGCTTGATTTGTCCGGCAGCTCAAAGGTCATGAGCACGCCCTGCGCTCTGGACATGACTGAAACATACTGAAACATCTCATGAGCGGTGACTGCCACGCAGGCGAGCCTCCTCTTCTTTGTTGACTGCCTGAGGCAAGATGCGGCAAAGATGGGCTTCGCAACAACAGCTGGCCTGTCACACTAAGAAGCGGACGGAAGCAGCACGATCTGCTCCCGTAGATAGCGGGACACCAACACTCTCCACGACCTGCATGTCATTGCAGAAAAGGGCAATGTAGCAGCGGCTGCGAACAGCGGCCTTCACCCCCCAGCAAAAGCGGCCAAGCAACTTTCGGGGTCGCTTCGGTTGTGCAGCATGTGCAGAACATCCCGAAGCAAATTTGGGACGGTGCACTGTCTCGAAACTTGGGCCGAAAACTTTCCCAAATATTGACAGGTGCAGGTGCCCGCCGCGAAGAAAGCGCAACTGAAACGTTCTACGATGACCCCGAAGCGATGCGACTGAGATCACAACTTGGACTGCCTGAAGCAGTCCCAAAGCCTTGCTAATTGGCACATGGCAAGTCATGACAAAGGACTCACAACGCACCACGCAATGGTCATATGCACAAGCCTGGCCACGCCCTACGCGCCCTATGAGGGATTCAGCTATGGACACGCTAGGGTCACGGCGGCCAGAGCTGGCCAGCTCCAGTAGTCTATGAGTTTGACAGGCATGATGAAGCATTGCTTGAACCACTATGGCCGTCGAGGCGCGTTGTCTCGTGCTACGCAGCACGACTATGCCTCAAGGGCCTTTTGCGGCTGCATGGCTGGTTCAGGAGTGAGTGGTGGCTGATTGCCACGCGCATGGCCCAGTGCACTATCAATCCTGCGCAAAACGAAAAGGCGCCACGCAGAGGAAGAAGCGTGCTAGGCAGGAGTGGAACTGTCTTTGTACATGCGACCAGCTACCTTGAGGCGTGATGCTGGCCAGGACAGCTATGAGTCGGCACGTGCACATACGACTACCAGCAAATAGCTGGGATGCTCGGATGGCTCGAGGCTGCATAGCAAATTACAGATACACGGGTGTTGGCTCACGCGGAACAGGCTCGGTAACGACATCCGTTGCCTCGGCAGGCGTTTTCTGATCATCTAACCAATATGCACGAATGTATGCAGCGCATGAGAGGACAAGGAGGGAGCTGCTAACTCCTGCTCGGTGTGGGCTTTCAGTTTCTCCTGAAGCTTCGCACGACTGTCTTCCAACCATCCTCAGTGCCCCAAGACTCCCATCCCAAGATATGGCCGTTGATTCCAGGTGGCATTTATTGCGAGCATACATGATCCTACTTGCAGCTCAGTGGCTGAGGTGCGCTTGCAGCGTGTCCTTCCGCGAGGTTTCATCCAAGTTCGCGCTGGCGTTTTGCCCAGAAAGCTCAGGGAGCACGCCGCCAACAGCCTAACACATCTGTCAGGATTGCAGGGATCCCAAGGAAAAAGGATGACAAAGGCGTCTCTGCTGATCAGCCCTGCAGAACTGCGTCCTTTTTAAGCACTTCTGCACTTTGGGCAGGTGGTGCGTCTTCTCAAGCTACTTTACTGGCAATAACAAGGAGGTCCCGGTTTAAGTAAGTGTTTCCTGCCTGTGGCTTTGACATTCTGATCAGGCTGAAGCCTGTTTGCTTTAACAAACAAGAGACAATGTCGGGAGACACAAAGTAAAAGCCGCCTACGCTGTAGTGCCGTTGCTTGGCAAACCGACGCCAGCCATCAGGGGCCAGCAAGTTGGCAAAGGAAATGAAGCAAAGTCCGCCTGGGCGTAGTATAGAGCGCATGCAATGCAGGGTTTGCCTCATCTGGTGCAGGTCCATGTGAACAAAAACGTCAAAGGAATACACAAAGTCAAAACAGTTGCGATACTCCTCCGGATAAGATGTGCCCCCCTGCACAAGTTGGAACTCTACATGTCGATGTCCGAGTTCAGCAATTCGGCTTTTGGCACGGGCCAACATGCCCTCACTCAGGTCAAAGCAGACCAGGCGCTCGACTTTGGGCGCAACCCTCGCGGCAACTCGGCCGCCACCGCTTCCAATCTCGGCGACTTTGGGGCATCCTTCGAGATATGAGTAGAGCCATTCATGTAGCACAGCCTCGAGAGACTCAGCATCAGACCACTCATCTCCCAGACATTGTAAGTCATCTCGAGAAACGTGCTTTGACATGCGCTTCACCCAGTCTTTGTCTGAATTCCAAGAATTGGCATAAGCATCCCAAAGCTTACGGTTCGTCTCATGATTGGGCGCATCCGTGTACACGGCACATTGTTGTAGACTCTTCAACACCTCGAGAGCCATAGGGTTCTGCCTCTCTTCAGACTGCGCCACGAGCATGGCCTCGACCTCCTCCAAACTTCCAGGGCTTCCCTCTGCACCGTCGCTTGTTCCGCTCTCGCACGCGGCTTCCACAACTTCTGCCTTTGCCCATTCTGCCGACTCTGCCGACTCCTTTGCGTCTCGTTCTTGCAAGATCGCCAGCAGGCGGGCTGCATGGGCTTCTGCTGTCTCGTGGTCTTGGCGAAGGTACTCCATCTGGCTGCGCTGGCCTTGAGATGCTACCCCCCACGCTGTGCTCTGAGATCTTGTTTGGTGTACGGCAGTGTATGGCATCTGGCAAGTACCGGCGCCCTACATCACATGGCTGAAGGCTACCATGAAACATGCCGAAAGTGCTCCAGCGGATGCGTGTCCGTGCTTCCTCTCTCTATGTCTCAAATGTCTCATATGTCTCATATGTCTCATATGTCTCATATGTCTCAATCACTGCCCTAGCAAGCTTGAAAACAGGCCTTCTCCGCCGCGCAGAGCAAACCAGCTGGCTCCTCCTAGCCACGGGAATGGAGTCGAACCCTTTTGCCCCTGCACAACGAATCTTCTTCTTTTTTGTCCACTTGGGCTCGATCGCTCTCTGGGTTGGAACGGGCACTTGATGAAGCTAGTTGTGTGCCTCAACCCAGGCTGCGATTTGCTGAAAGGTTCCGTGGCACTCAGGCTCCATCAGGGGGCAGCCGGCCAGATGCAAGATGAAGTCCCCCGGCTTCCAGGCAGAAGCACCCCATTGCAAGGCAGAACCCTCACCATACAGGTTCATGGCCTCTGGTTATGCATGCAACGCAACATGCGCTCAATGAGCCATTGGCCCCCTCTACCGTACACCGCTTATCCCTCTACGGCATGGACGACAGATGCAACTAAGACCCCCGCATGCTGAGGCACCAGGCCAAAATGAGGCGCCCACTGGAAATCACTCCAGGTCTCAGTCTCGCACAGAGTGGCACCGAGGAGGTCAGACTCTTGGGCCATCTGTTGGAAAAGCATGGTTTGATCCCAAACAAAGCGCCAGTCACTTTGCATCGCCTCTTCCAGAAACTGGAGACCCCGCCTCTCCTTCCCCCCCTTCACCAGAAAAACTCCTGAGTTGATCCCCGACACCTCCTCCGCCACAACGAAAACCTTCTCGGAGAGCTGATAAGTTCGGATGAGGGACTCCACCGAGATGGAGCGATTGGCAACCAAAGCATCGCAGTCCAGCCACAGGAACCAATCTGGGGGTTCTTCATGTCTCAACGCGTCGATGGCAATCTGCAGCTTCCCGAATTGGGGCTCTTGTTCTGCCAAGGGCGTCTGCTGATGCATTGTATACTCATAACCCCAACGCCCCGCGTAGGACTTATGGTTGTGCTCGGTGATGTTGAAAGTTATGTTCTCCAAGTTTCCTCCAGCAAAACTCGAGTCGCACAAGGAATGCACAACCACTCGGCCTCTGGAAGGTGCGATCTGCCACTCCTTCTCCTTCAAGCCATATTGCACATGCAACTCGCGCAGCTTCGCCGCATACTTCGTGGAAAGCGTGCTCCTTACATGGCAAACGCACTTTCCAAAAACCACCCGCACACCCCCCAACACCCCCCCAACCACCTCAATGCTCCAAAAGAATACTTGCTGCTATTCACTGCTGCATGAGTCTCTGCGCTTCTTTCCCGGCCCTCGTTTCATCTGGCCTTTCAGGCTTGATCGGGGCATGAGACACCAGATGACACCTAGCCCAGTAGCAAGATTAGCAACCAACTATGCAATCAAATCTGCCTGACTACACCAGTGAAAACCCCAAACAGATGTATCAAACCGGAGCCATTCAAGTTATTTGGCACCCGTGGATGTAGTTTGCGGATGCGCACCGACTCCCCCACTGTGTGCCGGCTGCGCACTTTGCACTCGCTGGCATGGTCGTCAACATCGAGCTGAATGCTTGCGAGGAGCGGGCATGCGGGCACAGGCTCACAGAGGACGGACACGCCGTCGAGAACTTCAAGAGGAGTTTTCCGCGATGTGCAGGAAGACGCCGTCTTCCAGGCGGCTTTGCGGGAACCGTACACGCGCGGGGCAGGGCCGGCCAACGAACACCGGAATGGATCAGGATGGTGAGAAGGCGCTGGACCACCCCCCCCCGCCCCAGCACCAGGCATTACCCAGAAGACGGCAACGCATGAGCACGTCTTCCGTGACTACCAGGTTGGAGAAGGTGAGGTCCAGGCGTAGTTTAAACCTAGCACGGAGAAAAGCACACATTTTTCCCGCAAGATGGCATTGAAAGTTTGTTTGCGAGACCAGATACACACGCCAGAAGCGCGCACAAGCTTGAGACACATGAGATGTGTTGGCTGTTGATGGCTGTTGCACACAATTGAACATGTACACGAAATTGGCCGCGCTTGCCCCGAACCTAACACGGAGAAAGTCAAGCTTTTTCAACAAGCAAAATGACATGTTGCAAGACAGATGCCCTCGTGCCGAGATTTGTGTGCTGAAAGCCATGCAGGCTTGGCATACACGGCATGTGGCGGCTCGTGCGAGAAATAAGGGAGACTTACCCTTTGCATGCCTTTTGCCGTAAGATGATCGCTTCCGACAGCCCCCATATGGCAGCAATGCAGCAATGTGGCGACTGTATTGAAGTGCCAGGCAGGCATCGTCTTTCCGCATGAAGAGCCTTGAAAACTTTGAAGCACCAGTCGCCCAGTGTAGAGCAAGAATGGTAAGATGCTTTGTAGTTTCGATTTAGTCTTCACCCCTGACGGTTTTGACAAACAGCATGGCTGCTGTGCCATGGCCAGCGCTGCAAGTTTGAGATCTACAAATCTGACACCTGCGAAGCAGCAGCATTCAAGTTTTGTACTTCCTTGTCTTTGCTTAGAACTTGCTGCGAGCAGTAGCCAAACCTTTGAGTGTTTCTTGCTGTTTGCTTGGAGCTTGTGAAACAGCCGAATGGTGTTTCCTGCTTTCTAGTGTTTGCATTCGAGCAGCTCTGCGAAGCCGTAAAGTACAGTTTCGAAAGTTCTGGTGCTTCTGTCGAAGTTGCAAATTCTCAACATGCAATTTCGAACTTGCCTGAGCCGGCTTCGAACTTCAGAAACCGTAGCGTGCTCTCAGCCTGCAACAGCCAAGAGGTCTCCTTCTGGCACACAGGTCTCGGCACGTGGGTGTCTTGTAATTCCTGTATCGCAAACAAACTCTCCATGTCATCTCATTTGCGGAAACGTCTTTCTCCGTGCTAGGTTCGCGACAAGCGCGGAAAACATTTTTTGCCGCCTCCGGCACACAAAACTGAGCACGTGGGCATCTTGTCTCGCAAGCAAACTCTCAATGTCATCTCACTTGTGGAAGAAAAGCATCTATTTCTCCGTGCTAGGTTCGGGGCAGCACGGAAAGTTTCAGCACTGCAAACTTCTTCGACAGTCACCACCCAGTATCTGAAGCTTGCACGTGCTGCCACACAAGTCTCGCCACATGGGTTTTCGCGAAGCAAACTCTCAACGCCATCTCGCTTGCGGAAAAAATTCAGACAAAACTAAGACTTGTTTATGTCCGTGAAGTTTTCAGGGAGCCACACGGCCACGAAGGGGGTCGCAGTGGGAGACCTACGGCCCACACATCCGATCCAGATCGCCGCGGCCCCTACCCATTCGGCGATGTTTTTTGAGGAGAGAACCCCAAACTAGATTTTTTCGAAGAACTACGCAGTTTCCCAAGGGTGGCCGGAAGAGCGCCCGCGACAGGGCCATGGTGCGGATCGGCGCGCCAAGCTGCAGCAGAGCCCGGCCACGCCGCGGCTGCCCGGCTTGCACCGCCTCGGAGCTTCAACAAGGGGAGGCTGGAGAGAGACAGACTGAGATAGAGACTTCCTCACCTGACTGTTTCATATCATCAGACCTCGGCAGCACCATGCCCGGGCACTGCCCAACTCTGCCCTTTACTTTACACAACAGAAGTTGCCACAGCTTTGAAGCGTGTTGCTGAGCTGCTAATTCGCTGGCCCATTCGAAGTAGCTCGCAAGTAAAGTCGGACAGCTGTTCGCCACTTGCCTGCAGGCTGGCTGAAGAGAACAACAGAGCAGGGGCTCAGCGGTGGCTGCTGCTTTCCAGCCTCTGAAGCAGCGAAAAGGGTCGCTCTTGGTTTATGTTGTTTTCGAGCCGGGAGGCGGGAAAGGGGCGCCCGCTATTCCCAGAACCACTTGGCGAAACAACGCCAATTGCCAGCAGAGTGCTTGAGCGGCACCATCTGAAGTATTCTCCAACAGTTGGATGTGCTGCCTCAGCAAATTAAAGAATAGTCCGACCGTGGTCGAGTGCTTGGGAAGCCCTCAACACCCCGCGCCGCCACGAGCCGGCCCTCCTACCCCCGCAACAAACCCGCATGTTCTTTCCCTGCGCAGTATGGTGCCGGGCTTGGTCCCCACCTCTCCCTCCCCAACAAACCCGAACCGATCCGTGCCCAACCCCGGGATCTCCCTGGAGTGCCCAACCCAGAAGGTCCCAGTGCCAGTCTCCATGGAGTACCCAACCCCAGAGTATCTTTATCAAGAGGTGGGGATGTTCGGAGTAAAAAAAAACTATGGCCTCCGAAGGCCGTGAAGCAGCTGGGTCGTTTCTTAACCCTCAAACGGCCAAATCCGGCTGGGCAGGGAGACTCTGGGGTTGGGCACTCCAAGGATACTTTGAGGATGAGTGAGGAGTAGACCGGGCGAGGAGAAGAGTTCCGGGCGAGGAGAAGAGGTGAGGTTAGAATCTAACAACCCCACACCGAGGGTGGGGAAAAAACCAAACTGTAATTTGGAGGGATGCTGCTTTTTGCCGCACCCTCCGCCCCGCGATTGCCAGGGTCGGCGCTAGCCCACAATTAATATGACTCACAATGACTCACAGGCAGAAACTTCCGCACTGACTACCTCTGCTTTGCAGCCTAACTGCTCGACGCGAAGAGCTGCCCCATGAAGGTTGTACCAGAAAGTAGTGAACGCTTCAGGCAGTTCGTGCAGGTAGGGGCAGAATCCCAGCAAGTCTTTTCGGACGGGGTCCGGGACTGGAGGTTCATCTGCCGAATCCGCCGAATCCGCCGACCCCTGTAAGCGGTGCAAGCTTTGCAGGAACAGAATGAAGAGAAGCCAGCCAAGCAAGCCACCCAAGCTCCCCAGCAGTGGGCAAGACTGGCAAAGCACAGTCATCGACACTCATTTCCTGAAGACGCCCTTTCGCAAGCATGGGCAGCCAATCGGCAGCCATGAGCGTGAAACGCTTGCTCTCCAGCACTGAATTTGTTCTGCCAATCTGTGCATGCGCATGCAAACATGGATTGCCAACTGTCCGAGCCGTGCTGTAACTCTAAGACGAGTGATGAACCGCTGAAGGGTGCACCTCCGGCTCGTGCCAGCACACAGCGAATGAGCCAACGAAAACATACTGGCGCCAAGCTCGTCATAGGGGTACGAAAGAGTACACACTGCGGGGAAGCTTCAATCAGAGCGCACATGTCACGGTCCTGACGGCTGTCAGAAGAGGTGGAGTACGACTCGGACTCAGCAGCCTTGGAATCCCACATGAGCAAGCGTGCCACGCAAGCTGAGCAGCATGACCTCGTCACTGTCACTGGCGCCATCTGACGTGCTCTCGTTGTCCCCTGCACAGGGCCCCAAAGACGACAATCGAAGCCGTTGCAAAGACTCAGAGACTCAGAGATGGAGCCTCGACTTCTGCTCCGACTGGAGCTGCCTTAATTCCAGAAACAGCACATGCCAGCTATTGCCAGCTGGATTCATGACACGTCATGCTGCAAGTCGCTGCAGGCACTGGCTAAGAGCGGGGCCACGGCTCGTGCGTCCCATGACCTTCCTGACAGTAGCCAGATATCGGCAAGACGCAGCCAAGTTTGGGTAGAGTGACACCTCTCAAAAATTCTCAAAAGCTGCGAGCAATGGAACTACAGTTGTCAAAGGCGCCAGCTGCAACCGGAATAGGAACGGCGCCTGCCAAAAGCTGACAGGCGTGAGTCCGTTGGAACCCATCGCTTGGCCTGCCTCTTCGGCAAAGACCACTGCCTGCGCAATGTCCGCTGCCTCGGCGAGGCAGCAGCATGAGCGTGGCGCTACAACATCAGGCGCTACAACATCAGGCGCTACAAGTATCTGTCACAGATGACAGCCAGGCAGTTGGCCACGATGATCTGCTTTCGCTCCTCAACCTGTCAGGACGCAGAACTTAACAAACATGGCCGAAGCCTCCGGCCGACTGGCTCACGCTGTTGATCGCTTTTGCCACAGTCAGCGCATCACCGTGTAGCAGATGTAGCGAGACATAGTGGGCAGTTTTTCAACAGCTTGCCATGCTCATTGCTTCGCTTTGCTTCGGCCTTAGCCTTGGCGCGCTCGTGCTTCAATCGATCCTCCCACTCCTGCTCAATGAGCTGCAGTAAGGTTCTCTTGAATGTGTAGTCAGCGAAGTCGCTCTCTTGCACTGCTGAATGGTGACGTAGGGGTATGGCCTCAAAACGCTCCTCATTGAATGTTCGTGCGATCGCAGTTTGCTCCTGGCACCTTCCATGTCCAGCCCTAGTACGACACAGTTATGTGCTGAAGGTATGCCAGGCGGAGTCATGAACGTAGGCTGGCACTAGCGTTTGACGACGAACGACTATCGTTCGTGTCACTTACCAGAGGCTTGGACATGAGCGGATCGTTCACTTGCTGCAGGTGGCGCGCCTTCGGGGCACTTTTGCAGCAAAGAGCACAGCTAGAAACAAATAGACCGATCCTCTGAGGCATGCGGGCCTTGTTGGGACATAGCTCAGTACAAAGCTACGACTTTGGCCGACTACGGGTATACCCCTGTGCCGTAGAACTGGCGGCGTCAGGAGCAATCCACGCCTCCGCCCTCGCCAGAACATGCTTTGCTACTGGCCTTGAGAAGACGTGGGCCAAATCAGCTCTATGCGTACACGGCGTACACAAGACTTCAGCGGCTCAGGCTGCGACACCTCCCCTGGCCGACCTGACAAGCTCAGTCACCACATGTCGCAGCATGACTCGGGAGGCAGCGGGAGCTGTGCTGTCGGCCAATGAGCCGCACAAGCGAACGCTCCATCGAAGGCGCAGGAGACATAGTTTCAAAGAGCCAAAGCACAATCTTTGCAGAGTTGGTCTTGCATGACAGTAGCCTCCCAGCATTCTACATCGCCTGTGTCTGTAGCCCATTTTGCTGTCAACAGTGCTTCTCGCGGCTTAGTGACACGACATGATATGACATGATGACATGATTCGAGTTCGTGAGCTTCGGCACGAAGAGAACACAGATTCACGTGCAAATGTCCCGCGAGAAACTCGGGAGCAGCTCACAATGCTGGCAGATCATGGCCGAGCGTGCCATTTTTGGCTGCGCTGCCAAACTATCAATCCTCTCGCGGCCTCTTGCGCGAGAAGTCCTGACACAGAGCTTTGTCACAAGCATTCGGTTTTTCACATCCCTGTGTATGGGAATTAGCAACCAGTCTTTTCCGACGTGCAGGCTGAAAAGGTCTATGTGTACAGTAGCAGAACCCTGACCATGCGAGTAGACGAGGCTTGCTGCGGGCATCTATGTAGATGTTGAGAGCCTTTGTGTTTTGATTCCGGGAACTGAGGCCGGAACGACTACCACACTCAGGCGTCGAGAGTCGCAGGTGAAAATAAACTTGGGTCAGTGGGTAGTTCATCATCTCAAAGGTTGTAGAGTGCATCGTCTTGGGCTGCAATTTTTAGTAAACATCAGCCAGCACAGAAACTTTTCAGGAATGTGGCTCTTGCTGCATGCGGACGGTACCCTCGACGATGGCGAACTTTCAAGCTTCAAGAAGCCAGTGTCTGCCATGGCGGCTGTGGCCATTGGCGGTTCAGGAGGTTGATGTTTTGTGAAATTTCGGGATCTGGAAACAACTTTTGTTGCATGCGCCTAGATCTCTTCCCATTTCTGCCTCAGCTTGTGGTGCCTGGCCAGTGCCCCTTTTTTGCCACATGTCGCCAAACATCTTTATGTCAGCGGGCCGGTTCCCTGGCCATTCTTCTTGCGCGTCTGAGCTCCCAGAGTTCCGAAAAGGCCTCCCTGTGACTCCTAAGCCGGTTGCAGTTTGCCATAAAATTGTTGCGTTAACACGTCTGGCGATGCGAAAAACTGTCAGCAAGCTGGCGCCGGTAGGAAACCATTCCGGTACACTCTGGTCGATGAGCAGATGTGCGCGGTATGTGCCAATGATGTGCCATGCCATGCAGGACAAGTCGCCTGCGTCAAGCTCGCCTGCACCATCACACGATGCTTCACATGCATCAACTCGCCACGGCCTACTGTAACATACCTGACATACCCTGCGCCTCTGCAACGATAACGGAATTGGGATCCGCTCCTTCCGCCTGCGCCTCACTCGAGCATGATCGAACACAAGCGCACGTCGTTCAAGCCCGCTGTGCTCTTGGCGAGGCACCGCCACTGCCGACTGCAACAGTTGCACAGAGGAGCGGAGAGGAAGACGAGCCAGGACTTGAAGGGTCTGATCCTTTTGTCGGCATGCGTCGACATGCGACAACTTCAACCGACTGCCGGCTTCTCAAGATCTCCTCCAAAGAGAGCCCCAGCTCAGCGGCTTTCTGCCTGCAAGTTGGGAATCTTCGGATGAAAGATTCAGAAGAGATGCACAAAGAACGCAGCACCTCGTCTGGTTTCCAGTGAAGTTCATTCCACCGGAAGTACCACCTGAAAGCTTGTCCAACCCACACATCATGGTGCAAGCCCGAGGCCCTAAGCCCTTGGACTTTCAGACTGCGCGAAAGCAAATCCAAGGCCAAGTATGTGGCCATCTCGAATAATTTTTGCAACGGCTGCCTGCCGAAGCTGCGCATCTAGCGATATTCAGACATACTTCCGCCGCGGCAACCTCAAGTCGGGCGCCTGGAGGTAATTGTTGGGGTTGGAGATGCTGACCTGACGCATGACCCGACAGCTATCATCCCCAAACTCCCAAACGTCGACAAAGGCTCCCGCTCCAACTCCACCTTTGCCAGAGCCTTGGCACAGCAGCCGCGACATCTGGTGAAGCTGCAGGGCCACAATATTTCTGCGGCCTTTAGAATACAAAGCTCCCACCAGGTCCATTGCCTGGTCCTGTTCAGCGGATTTGGAAACACTTGAAGCTTGGAAACACGGGAAGTCCTCCGATAAGCAGCGCAGTGCCAGCAAGGAGTTGGCGTCAAGGTTTTGGCCTTGCCACAAGTCCTCGATGATGGTTCTGTTTTGGAACTGAGTACTCTTCTTGCACACTACTGCCACTGTCCCGCTCGTTGAGATCCAGCACTGCTCTTTCGACCAAAGTTACATCTGGAGGCACCTGCCACGTGTGCCGTGTTTCCAAACTACTCGGCATCTTGCCTTCAAGGTTCGGGGTCGCGACCCAAGTCATGAAAGGCATTCGCTCGCATCAGCACACATCTTTTTGGCTTCCAGTCGTGATGCCGCGCATCTCCCCTTGGCGATAGCATGACAAAAGACTTGACGGCTCATAAGAAACGTCAACTCATCTACATAAGCCTACATGCCATTTGAGGCAGGTTGGGCAACACGATTGCCAAGCAACTTAACGTACCGACTGCAACAAACAACTATGCACGACTGCAACCCGCATGTTTGACACTGTGCGCGTTGCCCTTGAACTTACTGGGGCTGGCTCAGCAGCACGCAGGTGTTTGAAGGCAGGAGTCCTGCGCTGACGTTCGATTCAGCGTCGCCATATAACTCCCCAAGCAGCCCAAGCATTTGCGACCGAACAGCAAAGTAACTAGAAGCTCACAGCCCAGCCCAGAGAACGCTGGTTGTTTTCCACGCGGTTCAGCGCTCAATCTGCCAACCCCCATTGCCTAGGATCGTTCTCGGACGTTTGTGTGTCTCGGTCTGGTGCCGTTTCCAGCCAGCAGCTCATCAAGGGAAGGTCTCGGATGTCCCGCAGCTCGGCCTCAAGTCCAGCCTCATATGACACGAAAGAAAGAAGGCAACGGCAAAACACGCATACCTGCTGTTGGCTGCTGTTCGCGGCTGTTTGCCTGCTGTTGGCAGCTGTGGGCGGCTGCTGGGTGTTGCATCCCAAATGCCGAGGGGCGCTCTTCAGCGATGTCTTCATGTACTCGGCAAACTCCGTCCACTCTTCTGGAGCTACGTGGTAGTCAATGCTTCCTCAGTCATGGAAGCATCAAGAGCAAACACTTCAGGCCTCCGGACAAGAACATTAGGTGTTAACTTACAAATGGGGTGGGAATCTGCAGAAGCACAATATTCGGCTGGCCTGGAGGTCCCGGGCCAAGAGCCTTTTCGATCAGCAGAGGCTTCGGGCTCATATGTTGAAACCGATCTTTATTTGGAGCTCCGATGAGAATGAATGCGTGGGTGACAACTGAACAGTTCGGCTGGCCAGCAATCCAACATGTTTCTGCAAATTGCTGAAGAGTTCAATTCCAGAGAAGCTTTTTCATCCGAGCCGGCTAGAAGCAGCTCCGGAAGCTTCGGCTTCGGTCTTTAGAGAAGCTGATCTCGAAACAGATCTCGATTGAGTTTTTGCTGTAGCTCGAGGCTGAAACAGCCAGGTCTCCAGACCCCCAGACCCGCAAGCCCACAGCCAAGAACACTGAATTGCAACCCAATCCTGTTTTTACCACCCTCAAACTCCCGGGATGCAGAATAGATTTGTAGGGGAGGGGGGGGGGGGGTTGTGAAAAACGCCCTAACCCTAGCGGTACACTTCCTTCCACCTTGAACTGCCTCTCACCGCATTGCAGCCGGAGATCTCCAGCGCATGTCATCTGCCTGCCATGCCAAGTGCTGGATCGCTTGAGGGATGCTGCCGTCACAGCCTCTGGGCGGCTCACCCCTCGTGGCCCCTCTTTGGGACACAGACATCCAATCGAGCACGCCACACGTGCCAAAATCCCGAAGCTCCACGATCAGCGTCCTCCAAGTTTGGCTTTTGGAGCAGACGTGCCATAGAAAGGCGGGAGCACCCGGCTTGAGCACATTGTCGGCGACCACGACCGCTTTCCGTGACAGCTTTCCCATCCGTTCCAACTGCTCCAAATCTTCCAGAAACCGATTTCCGCGTTGATCGAAGAAGCACATGTCAAAGGACTTTGCAGGGAGTCGGCTAAGGATGAGCTCGCTATGTCCTACCCGGACGTCCACAACCTCCGAAAGCCCCGCATGAGCCACCATCTCTCGTGAAATGAGAGCGAACACGGGATCCATTTCAAGACTGACGACTCGGCCACCCCAGTTCCGCACCGCAGCCCCTAGGCGGATAGCGGAGAAGCCCACATAGCACCCAACCTCCAGGACAGAGTTCGGCCGCAAAGTTTCTAGCACCTGTTCCAGCACCTGTGCCTTCTCGCTGCCAGCGACTTTGAGCCAAAGCTTTCTGGATTTGCAGAATGCCTCCACCATTGAAAGTACGGCCTGCGCATCGCCCCTTGAAGCAAAACGCTGTACAAATCGCAGCAGCTCTGCCTCGCGCCCGACTCTCGAAGGCCACTTCTGCACACCTTCACCGCCTTCACCGCCTTCACCGCCTTCACCGCCTTCACCGCCTTCACCTCCACCGTCTCCCAGGCCAAGGTGTGCCCACACACGGCGCTCGCAATCATGTTGAGCGTCGCCCAGTTCCGTCGCGCCGACGAGGAAGGCGCTTGCCAAGTCCTTCCAATGTGGCAGCAATTGTCCTATCTTCGTTCCGATAGGACAAGGGGTGGATTTAACTCACGTCAGCCCGCCACAACACACGCCACCCCATGAGTTATGCATCAGCGGCCAGAAGACATCAACAGTACTCCAAATGAGATCACAACTCGCGATGTGTGGCGGATGCTGGTGATCTAGATGTTGGTTAGACCGTCTACCATTCTTGCAGCAATCTGGAGGGCCTGTTGCCAGCAAAAACTCAATGACGCATTCGTTTCTTCGTTCTCGAAAACAGCAACCGTTCAAGATGCTGCAAATCGACAACAAGAGCGTATTTCTACCAGACGATGTGAAAGAAAGCGACTGCTGACTACCCTGTAGTGCGAAGCACGCTCAATTCAGCCCCAGCTTCCGGGCTAAGTTCGGGAACGGAAACAAGCGCATGATCCAGAAGGCCGTGAAATGCGTCACGGAGACTCAGCTTCAGCAAGCCACGAGCAAGCATCGAGAGGCCACGAAGGTCGATGGGTTCACCATGTGCAGCCTGGTGGGCCAGTCCCTCAATCGAGCCATGAATCATCTCAAGAAGTGGGCTAGGAATGGACTCGGAGAGCCCTGCAGAGAGCCCTGCGGAGAGCCCTGCGTGACTCAAGCCCCAAACCAGATTGGCAACCTCATTGGTTGCTGAAGAGGAGGGCAGCTGGGCTGTGCTCGCTGTTGCAGCTAATGATGCCAATGCCTGGAGGTGAACCACTGCCTGGAGGGTTCCCAGCGACCACGCGGTGATTGCAAATTCTTGAGCGGACATCTCTGCACTGTGGGACACGGCAGCAGCATACAGCCGAGCACGGGCATGGGGGCTCTCAGACAAGAATGCCAAAGTCGCGAAACCCCACAAAACATTGGCGAACGCTCGAGGAGTCATCTCCTAACAGGACAGAGTGCACAACTCGACAGTGCTTGGTCTCACTATGACCTTACAAGCAGAAAGAAAGGCAATCAATGCATGATTCTAGGATTCTAGGCCCATTGGTGCCCAGAGGCTGTTAGTCTGCAGGCCATCTTGCCCTCAAGCGCCGCCAACAGCTCTGGGTCTCTGTAGCCTCCTGATCGCTTGTTTTGGGTTGATGCCCCACCTGCTGCTGCGCAGGCCCAAACGATTGCAGCCAGTTGCTGAGGGGCCAGTTCCACCACACGCCCTCGAACCAAGGCCTGCCCCAACACCAAGAAGACATTGGAGAGCCTGTGATTGCACGCCCTCTTGACAAGCACATTCCCCGATCCTAACTTCGCTTCGAAGTTCAAGGGTGGGGGCATGAGGGGGTCCAGAGCCCCCGAAGTGAAGCCAGTCAACACCTACACGCGTAAGGCAGAAGGCTTGCGGTTTGCTGCTTGAGTGTCGTGCCGGGCTGGGGCTGCCTACCTTGCGATCCGCCAGGTCCAAGAGGCCCAAGAGGCCCAAGAGGCCCAAGCCTTGCTGCAGCCCAAAGAATGTTGGCCAGATGCTGGCCGCTCAAGGATCCTGGCATGCTCTGGGCACTGGCGAACAGCTGGTTCAGACATCCCCACACATCCGCATCGCGCATTGTGTGTGCGTGGGTTGCGGCTGCAAATGCCCAGAGAGTATTGGAAAGCTCCTGAGGGCCAAAAGGATGAAGTGTGCCAACTGTGTCAACTGCACGAGCAGCGAGATGCTTCAAGAGAGGTTCATCTGCGCAGCTCAGCTTCACGAAGCTCCATGCCAGGTTGGACAAGTGCCGGCTGTCACATGTTGAACATGTTGAAAGCTTACAGATGGCTGCTTGCCTCAAAGCCACGGCTGTGTCCGATCGGACGGTCAATCGAGCCATGGACCAAGCCACCTGGGCGATGTCCAGAATTTGTAAGGAATGCACAGGGTGAGACGCCATCTTGCGTGCCATCGCCTCAAGGATGCAGTGGAGTGCATTCCTGGCGGTGGCAACATCCACCAGTTCCACAGCGGACCACGCAAGTCGCCCGAGATCGGCTGCAGCTTGCTCGTGAACTTTGGCAATGGCTGACTCCATGACACGTGGCAAAAACACGCCCGTGGAGGTGGAGGCAAAGGCCCAGCAAACCTCGGGCTACGGCTACGACTTATAAAGTCAAGCCAAGCGCTAGCAGCACAGGCCCGCTAAAGTTCATCACAGCAGGCATTCCGTAAAGGTTTCGCCGCTATTTAAGCACACGCAAGGACACGAAAGCCAAGAATCTGTGCAAATGATTGCAAATGACCGATCAAAAAACGGTGGGAAAACAAGTCACAAGTGGGGCAATGCGGCAAGTGGCCGCTGCCAGGCTGCTGGGTTGCAGCTCTGCTGTGCGCGAAACAAGCAGCGAAGCTGCCTTTAGCCATTCTGCATCCTTGCCGGTATCCCTGCCAGCTCTGGCGGTTCCAGTGCTCTTCGCGTACCGATGCCATCGGGCCACGGCATGAGCAGCAGAGACCAGCCTGTCTGACGGAAGCCCTGCCCATGACGAGCCCGGCTTCTCCAACACCAGCTCCAGCACCTCCAAAGAAAACCAAAAAGTCGCTAAACCTGCGAGCGAGAGAAAAGTTTGCCGATTCCAAAGAAGGGCTGTCTCAAACAAGGGGGCCTCAGACAAACTTACCTGAGTCATTGGCCTTTCATAGAATGGACACAGCTCATGTCGTAACCTGAACCTGCATGCTGCGCGTTAAGCTTATTTCGGTTTGTCGAAGGTTTTGCTTCGCTGTTTCGAGTTGGCCGTACACTCATTCATTCTTCAGAAGACAGGAGCTGATAGGAGGATATTAGGTTTGCCTCGATGGGTGATCACTCGCTGCGTTGGCGATGTGGCGATTGGGGTGCGTTCAAGGCTGAGGGCATTTCAGGCCTCAGGTTCAATTATGAATTCAGGCGGTGGAGGGGCGGTTGAATCGAGGTAATTATTGCTGAAGGTGACGCCGCATTGACCCTGAACTATGGCGCGCAGCCGAATCCCCGTTTGAAATCGAATTGTGAAGCCGAATTTCGCCCCTGACGCCGAGTGCTGCAGCCGAATTACCCCCTGACGCGAATAAATGGCAAAGATATCCCCTCCCGACGCGGCCCGTGTCGGCACCAACAGGATGGCTTAACTGCTTCGGGGAGGCATTTTGGGGGCTTTTACGAGGATCAACCTTACTTAAAGTTAAAGCCTGAATCCTGAATAGCTTGTGAAGCGGTGCTCAGATCAGATCCCAAAGGGCCTGCGCAGCTCTGGTGCACTTCTTCCAGCTGGCTGCGGCCCGCCCGCCATCCATGCCATACTGATAGCCCGCACTGCAGCCTTATCGGGGCCTAAGCCTTTAGGCGCTGCAGATCCCGAACGACCCACCTGCAGAGGCGGCAAAGTCTGGCAACTTTGCTGGCCCGTTTGCTTTTTCGACGTTTACTTGGTCTGTACTTAGTCTACTTTCAATCTACTCAGCTTTCGTTTTCGCCCTACCTGAACCACATGGTGCTGCGTCTCGCCACGACAAGCCAGGGCCGGAAGTAGATTCATGGCTTGCCATCTGCACGTCGTTTGGACACGGGGCTGTCCTGCCCCCACGTCTCCAGGAAGATGCGAGGCAGCCTGGATCTTGCTACCAAGTTGGCACTACACAGTGGTCACAATCCTGAAAGAGCACGGCATCTCGCACATTTTTGCTCGCATGACACAGGTCTTGCCGGCCAGCACTTTGCAGAGTTGGTGTCTCGGCATATGCCATGCGTGTCCTCAGGAATCGCCAGTTGCCGGTGTGTCGTCGAAGACTGCGGAGTCCATGCCTTCAACGCTCGAATCTTCGGCGTGTTGACGCCGTGTTGACGCCGTGTTGATCTTGTGCCCGGGGTGAGATGGTTGGCAGAACTACAGGGTGAGGGGCATCTGCGCTTTGATCTGGTCGACTTTGTCTAGCATTGCATCGCGCTCTCTCTCCAGGTCCCCCTGTGGAGTGGTATACCCCACAGGGTAGTCCATGTTGCCAGCTTCACCTTAAGAATGCACCGAATCAGCAAAGCCATTCATGACAAAAAACGAGGCAAGGCAATCTCGGAAATTCAGGCTCCAGCTGATCATGCCTCGCATCAGGTTTTGGCTTCTTTTTGCCTGGTCCTTCTCGGAGGCACGCGCCCGGGCAAGCTGCTTCTTCCTTTGCACAGGGTGAGACTCGCGGCAGGAGCGGCACAGCGGCAGGCTTTTCAGGTCTTTGTTCTTGCCTTATGAAGTGCCGAGGCTCGCTTCCATGTTCGACGGATCCTGCTCCTCAGGACGAGCTGGAGAGGCCTTATGACTTATGATTATAGTAGGGTTTTGAAAGCTCGGCCCTACACCAGAACGGCAGCGAAGTCACTCTTGGCCTTACCAGGCTCTCCAAGGCCGAGGTACCTCGGCACAATGGGATGAGAAGCTTACATAAAAAAAATTTCCTCCACGCAACAGATAAAGTCATCGTTAACCTAGATCGGCCTAGATCCGAGTGAATGAAACGCAACTGAGCAGCGCAAGCCCTCTCCGAAATAGGGCTTTGATGTTGCAGGGGTCCGGGGAACTTATGCCACCTTGCAGGCCAAAACTCGAAGAGGGAGTCAGAGAGCAGGAGCGAGAGCGCGAGAGGGCGGGGAGAGAGAGCCAGAGAGAGCGAGAGTGGCAGGCTCCCACGCCTCCATTGAGGATCTCCTTGGTGCATCATGCAAACGACACTTCTGTCCCTTCCATCCTTCCTACGCTTTTGTGCTGCACGCACTTAACAACAGGAACCGTCCGCACTACATGCGGTTGGGCTGCAGTGCAGAGATCCACTGCCTCTTGAAACTCTTCCAGCTTCAGCCAAGCCATGACCTCGTTGCTGCGGCAGGTTTGCCGGAGCTCGTCGCCTGCCAACCGCAGTTCCTGCCCAGGGGAAGCCAGCGAAGCAGCAGGCTCCAGGGGTAGCCAGGATGTAAACACTAAGAGCAGAGCCACGAAAGCTAGAGGCAACAACTGGCACGGCAGGGCAAGCAGAAAGCTGACATACAAGTACGCAAACTTGAGTAGGCTCCTCAGGCCAATCATCCACATAGCCCATCAGGTCCTGAACAGATCTGTACCTTAGGCTCGGGCTTCTACTCTCTCGGCAGGGTTTAGGGCTTGTGCTTTTTTTAACCCGCGGACACCTTTTGATGTCTGCTTTGAAAAAGCATATCCGCCGGCGGTTCTGCCCTTCCCTTGCATTGGCCGGTACTACTCTGTCCGGGTTTAGGGCTTAGGCTTTAGGGTTTAGGGTTGAGGGAGTCGGGAGGCCCCTAGAAAGTTCTACTGAAAATACGCATATGGGGGTATGCCAAGATTGTGGTCCCTTTTGTTCCCATCTTGCGGGTCCAAGTACGCCATTAAACGTTTCCAAACCGTGTCACATTAGGCCAGGGGCTGGGAAATGCATGGGAAGCCTCCCGAGGCGCCCCTGCCTCACCTCTCGTGTCCCGTGGCGCGGAGGAAGACCCCGCGCATCTTGCAGCGAGCGGAAAATGCACGGCGGAAAGACCCGGCGCGTCAACCAAAAAAAAACAAAATGCATTTTGCGACGGCCGAAAAATGCATTGCCGACTGCCGGGGAGGGGGGCGTGACTCAGGACCATATGCACGCTCAACGCTTAACATGATGTTTACTCGACGCTTAATGTGGTGTTTACTCGACCCTGCCCCCCCATTCCAAGGTCCAAGATGCACCCAGCAAGCACGTCGAAAGTCCTTGACGTTCATGAAGTCTGCCCCGCTCTTCTTGAGCAGCCTCCCCTTCTCAATTCGCTGTAATGGCAAGAGGTCCCACGTGTCCGGGGTCCTGCTGCGAGGAAAAAAATGGGAGCTGACGCGAAAAAAAACCACTCGGGCCCAAGAGTCGCGCCTCTGGAAGTCCATCAGCTCCACCATGATTTCCACCGGGCCACTTGGACAAAGGCCCAACTCATCATCTTGACACATTCCGGGATCTGCCGAAATGATGCACCTGGCCCCACAAGATGGCATCACCGCCCAAAACTCAAACTGCAACACTGCAAGCAAACATGCAGATCCTAACCGTTGCAGGCCAGCCACCTTTCGCCTTTAGTCATGCTCAGCACAGCGCATTCAACTGCTTCACAACGTTTTCCCATCATCAGCTCCCAGCACACGCGCTGGCCTGGACAACAAGGACTCAGAGTCACTCAGAGTCACAGGACTGGCCGCAATCGACACCACTAACAGTCACTAAAACACACTAAAACACAGTGGCACAGGGTGTGCCGGCCAAGGCGCCGTTGACCAGCGCAGTGACCTGGGACAAGTTGTTGGGCTTCTTGCCAGCATCGCCATCCAGCTGTTGTCTTTTCAACACCTGCGGAAAGTTCTTCTCTCCACATCTCTGGAACAAGCTGCAGTCTTTCACTTCAAAGACATCCAGCAGCTCCAACTCAATGGTCACGGTTGAATGACTTTGCACCCTAGAGCCGAACGCCGAGTCAGTGCCACAAGCGTACAACGGCGTCAGCGTTGCGACAGCCTTCTCATGCTGAGACATAGATTGCAAAAGCAGCTGCCAGGTGCGCGGAGGCAGCTCCAAGGGATTTTTGGGTCCTGACACATTTGCTTGCACACCGTCGTTAGAGCTCCTGGCATATTCCACACCATCAATAAAGCCAGCATACCGCAGTCTCACCGTCCATCCAGGGTAGGGCTTCTTGCAGCCAGTGCCCTCCACCTGCACGACTTTCACCACACCTCCATCTGGAGTCAACGCATCCTTCCTTCTCCACCACAATAGCTCGACTTCAAAGGTCAGGGTTGCCTGCGGCGGTATTTTGCCAGGAACGCCATCGCCATATGCAAACTCGGGACTTAAAATGAACTTCGCCCGCTCTCCTTTGCACATGGTTGCAATTCCCAGGTCCAAGCCTTTGTTGATCTCACCGTTTCCCAGGGAGAAATGAAAATCACCTGCCTGGCGGCGCGTGTTCTGAAACTCCTTGCCATCCGGCAACCACCCTCGGAAATGAATGTGCACCTCATCACCCGCACTGGGTCTGGCGCTGTCTGTGGGCTCGGACAGCATCTCTTTCCGCACACCTTCGGGAAGCTCTGCATCTTCAGAGACAGGAACGGCAACCGCCGGCGAGTCCATGCAGCGCTTCAGCTGCGGCGACCAAACTCTCTCGCTCTCTCAAAGATGTGTTGCTGTAGGATGGGGACCTGTTACAAGCTTCGAAGGTTCGCAGCCACAAAAATGTTTATATGAAGCATCAAAGTCACCAATGAGGGTGTTGCAGGGAACTGATATGCGAGTCCATGAGGGCATGCTGTGATCAAGCGTAGATGAGTTTGGACGGCCATCACTTGATGCATGCTTGTTGCCCAAGCTCACAAATACACTTGCGACACCACACCCGCCTCTCGAGCTCAACCTGCAAACGGCCATTGCAAATTCTTGTCTCAGGAAATGCCATGACAACTAGAAGAGCGAAACCACATGAATCCGCCGAGCCTCGGGCCCTAGGTGTCTGGGTAGCATAAAGCAGGTACCCCACCTTCAATCCCCTTTCCCACGACTGTGGGACACCGTGCATCCGGATGCCCCTCCCCCCCCCCCCCCCCCCCCCCCCCCCCCCCCCTTGCCCCGCTTCACCCCTGATGCCCCCCTGAGCAGGCCCAGGCCAAGGCGGGTCACTGCACCATTTGAACCGGCTGCTGTAGGCATCTTTTGCCCCCGCACGCGGTGCACAAGAGGGTGTGGTCGCGAACGCACTGCGAGCCGACGGGGCGCGAAGAAGAACTAGGACGCTTCTAAGCGCTACGAAAATCGAAGGGGCCCGTCATGCCTGAGGCATGCAGCCACTTCAAACACACCAAGGCCCACGGCCAACGAGATTCACAGGCGTATGGTGCACAAAGTGCCATATCAGGACGCCAAGCCAGCGGTCTCGGCACTCATCAACCTTCGTCTTCTCAATGATCTCTTTCTGCAGCGCTGCCGGGATCCACCAGTTCACCATGTACCCGGAACCCTTCGTCTCGTTGGCACCCAAGACAAAGCATGCATCATGCGGGCCCAGGCTTGTGGCAAACATACCGGCGCCCCACGGCCACCAGGTCGAAATCAGATTCTTGCTGGCGTTGCTGCCTCCTCTCTGGAGCTTCATCACATTCTTGCAGGCATGGAAGGCCTGCTCCTCGCCTGGGTAAGAGATCTTGGGCACCGGCGGTAGCTCCCACTTGCCTCGCCACACTTGCAAGCAAAGACCGATTTAGACACTTGTCCATCATGCCATCAAAAAACTCCATGGACAGCAGAATTCTAAGCCTAAGCAGAATTGAGAGCCGAATGTTTAGTTGTTTGCAGAAGGCTGGTCGAGCCTGGCTCGCCGATGCAGCCGTAGTTGCAGTCCCCGACCGCGAAGATTGTTCCATCCGCCCACACGCCACCGCCCTCGCTGGGCTTCTTTGTGACCTGTAGGTGCTTGTTCATGTGGATCCAACCACCTCCACCGGGGCCTTTGTCCGACAGGGTACACTTAGGCATGAAGTAGTTCGAAGCTTTCACACCGATGCACACGTACGTTTCATCGGCCCCATTCGGAAGCTCCACCTTCTTCCAGAAGTCAGGATTCTTGGGTTCATAGCCACAGTTGTAGAACTCCTTGATGCCACAGGCATTCATGTATTCAGAGCAGTAGGTTGCAGCGCTATCGGGCAGTGGCCCAAGACATTTCGGAAGAAAGTCGATGATGGTCAACTTTAGATCCGGGAAGAAGTGTTCGAGCTCCGTGGCCCACTCCACTCCAATGAATCCAGCACCAACCACAAGGATCGTTGCCTTCCTCTTGTTCAGATCCTGCAACTTGTGGTATTCCTCCAAGACGTGGCGGCGACGGCCTTCGAGAAAACGCTCATCGATATGCTTCCAGTCACTAACAGCCCTACCCTCCTCATGAATGGTCGGGAACCATAAGCTCTCGCCCATGGGCTTGAAGGGTCCAAAATTACAGCCCGAGCAGATGATGCAGTAGTCAAAACCGATCTCATCCACCGTCTTGAAAGACATGGTCTTGATGCTGGCAGTCTTCTTCTCACCATTTAGCTCCTTCACCTTCGGCATTCAAGAGGCAACACGGGTCACTGCAGCAACATCAGCATCTTACTGACAATGCAACCCCACTGCCACGCATTACGATCCCGGCACCTCTCCCCATATGTACTTCACACCCATCTTGCGCTCCAACACTGGCTGCAAAGTGAAAGTCAAGGAGTCTAGGTGCGCAGGCTTCACGAAGGCCCGCAGAACGCCTGACGACAGGGGAGGGGACGGGGGGAGCAACAGGAGCAACACACGCGAGGAGTCCCTGTTCTGGCTTCCGACAAGGCGGCCTGGCGTGTACTCAAAATATTCCTTGGCATCGACGACGGTAACAAAGAACTGCGACTTTAGCTCGCGCGCGCAGAAGCTGCCCGAGAACTGCGCACCTCAATGCGATAGCAGATTTCAGCCAAAAAAAACATCCGAGAGAATATGGAACCTGAAGCTCTTGAACCAACACGTCCGAGCCACCGATGACCAGGCAACGCGGCTTTGGCGCCATGGCTGCTTTCCCTAGCTGCTGCTCGAAGCAAAAGCTGGAGGTGAAGGTTCGTGCAATTGCGTGCAACAATCCATGCGCTTGCAGACAGAAAGTTTTAGAGCATAGCCGCTTTCTGGCCTCGCATGTTCAACATGGAGCCTTTCTTCAGTGAGCAGTCGATGGGTGTTTTGATGTGGTTTGAACCGATGAGCTTGTGCCATCCAAATCGCATCCACCCCCAGGTTTTGGAGCTGGAGCTGGAATGAAAGAGCCTTGCTTCGGGCCAACTTGATTGGCCGCTCTCGCTTAGGCCCTTGGTGGTCACATAGCTTTCGCTCAGGCATAACCTCCCTGTTCTCGGAGTTCCAGGCTCCCCTGTCTGCTGACCGGCGGCTCCAACGCGGTAGCCAGTCCACTACTTTGGCGGCGCATATGTGCACTGGATGGAGCAGAGAATGTCCCATCACATTGGGCCGCTCGAGACATGATCTTGTGCAGTAAACCCCGTCGATCTTCCGGGCCAAGCTTCTCCCCAAAGAGCGGTGTCTCATAGTGACCCTCCTTGTGCACAGGCTCGATAAGAACATCTCCGAGCAACTCCGGACAGGGCCGTCTTCCAAGGCCGATATCACTGCAAGCATGGACAAGGTCGTAAGCAATCGTCTCCGAGACCACGGAGTCCAGCTTGTAGTCCTTGTGAGAGTGCACGAAGTTCCGCATCCAGGTTGCGGGCGTCATCAACTCACCTGTGGCCCTGTCCTTGATGAGCTTCAAGTATTGGTCTAGCCTCTTGAAGGAGCTCTCGTCACAGCCGATGTGCTCCAAGTATGCGTAACATAAAGGTACCAGTCCCGGAAAATAGCAGCTCTTGCCATTCATGATTTCGTCCATGGTCATTTCCTCATGGCTAGACTTGGACTCTGCCTTGGGGCCCAGCTGTGGACAAAACTGATGCATCATCTCGTCAGTGTCATCCGGCAGAATGTGCTTCCGGAACCAGAACTTGCTCTGCCGCACGGAATCTACTCCATGGGCTCGCTTCATGTTCTCGTCTACCAGAGACAAAGGTGAGAGAAGGGTCAGGTTGAACACCAGGATGGCGCGCGTCACGATGACGATGAAGGCGGTGAAGGCTGCATTCTCGAAATCTGTCAGCTGGACTTCCATTGAACGGAACTCAGTCCGCCAGCCAATATGAGGAGAGCAAGCGGTGCTTGGGATTGGAGGTGGCTTCCAGCGAACCGTCTGCCAATTTGTGGATTGAATGCTCTCGAAGTGATCGGTGGACTGCTCATCATCAAGCTCCACATGGCCTTCGAAGACCACGAGTGGGTCGCGAGTGAACAAATGAGAGATATGCTTGGAAAGTGCGTCGTCAACTCCTTCCTTCGAAAGGAGAGACTCCATTTCTTCATCGACTTCGCAGACGATGTCGTTGTAGCCGGCGGAAGCTGGGTGGATGTAGCAGGAGATGGAGTCGTACCGACTCTTGCTCTGCCTGCGCGTTCCAGCCCCTGCCATACGCTGATCGGGCTTGGATTCGCCCTCGCCGCGTTCAGCTGGGGTCCGGTCATCCACTGATTGGCTGATGATGTTCCAGCGTACATCGGTGGCCGCCAGCCGGCCCTTCACCACAGGCGTCGCAGCCGTGAGTGCCATCATGATCGGCGCGAGGACGGCAAGCTGGTCATACAGGAGCCGCGACTCGTCGATATCGCTGGCCTGGAATGTTACTTGGAGGCAGCAGCAGCCCATGCCAAAGGCCATGCAATCCATGTGAATGTTGGGTTCGGGGTCGCTTTCGAACTCTTTTGTGTTCACGTCCTTGAAGAGAGGGACCCGGATGTCAACCTTCTCTCCTCGTCGTCGCCGAATGTTGCCCGTAAGGGTTGCAAACCTGGGGTGGGGGTTGATGCAAGTGTCTGGGACGTACTCCGATTGCGAGGCTTCACCGCCAGGTGGCGCGAAGGGATGCACGAACTCCCCCACACCCATCAACGGGAATGTCACCAGAGTCGGAGCAATCTCATCATCATTCAGCACGGAGAGAAGTCTTCCACGGCGAAGTCTCATATTCTGTTCCACACTCACGAGGCTCATGGTGTAGCCACCATACGGGAGGCTGGGGGTGCCCTCCAGCATCCAGCTGCCATACTCTTGATGCCACGCACACCCTCGAAAAGCATTCATGTCCTGCTCCTGCTTCCGCAGACCCTCCATAACCTCAGGCCCCCTCAAGGTCAACTGCACTCGCTTGCTGGAGGGGTCCAGCTTCAACAATGCATACTCAATTTCGTCTCCGTAGAAAAGGCGATCGTTCTCCAGGTGTCGCAAACGCTTGTGCGTCGCAATGAACTGAAGAACCCCGTGGCGACGAACGTACTGGCAGTGCTCCAAGGAATCATTCCAGTGCAAAGGCTTGCCGACTTTCAACAGCCCCATGTCTCTCAGCACCACATTCCTCTTTGCAAATGGATCCGCCACATGAATTTCAGCTCGAGCCGCGGGAATTGCGCAGGCTGCCAGCTCAAGACAGTGGCACGCGATCAAGCAACATGTGGTGACAAGCCCCATCTGGCCTGCTTGGATGATGGCACAGCAGCAATGGCATGAGGACACCTTGCCGAGTCACAGACGCTCCAAGTTGCTTTGATGACTGTCGGCATCTGCCAATGCTACTGTCACAGCTGTGCGGACAAGCACCCGATTTTCGAGCCACTCAGGGCTGCTGAGTGGATTGGACGACGAGCTGCGCTGCTCTACTTTCCGAGCAAAGGCTGTGCTCACCTGTTGAAGGGTGACATGCCGTGCCTGCTTACTGCAGGGTGAGACTACAAACATTTGAAGCCTGGAAGATCAGACGACTCAGTTGATTCGCGTTGGGAATCAAGTCGGAACCCGTTGCCATTTCAGACGTCGAGGTGTCGGACAGGGACATATGCAATGCTGGCTCCTGGAAAAGCAGCGGCACCACTGCAAGCACCAAAGAATCGAGCTTGCGTGCCCCCTTGCCTGGAGCCAGTAGCTTGCGTGGAACGGTCAGGACCTGAAGCGCTTCAGAAGAAGGAAACCAAACTAAACCAAACTATGCATGGCACCTGGCGTTTTCCGTGCTTTCAGGCCTCGATGATCGGAGCCATGAAGGTGACACACATAAGGAAGTTCCTCACACGCGTACCATGCCAACACGCTTTCGTGCTGCTCACCTGTTCATATGACACATGCCACGACCATGCCACCATGGCTCCCGGTTCCATCGGCCGTGATGGGTACTTTTGATCCATCCTGGGACTTGGCGGTGACTCCGCGTCAAGGGGGGGGGCAGGGGCGGGCCCGAGCGCAGGCAAGTAGCAGGCTCAACGAGATGCGCGACTGGCCACGTCAAAGGAAAAGAACCTTCCCAAGTACCAACCTGGGCACAGGGTGAAGAAAACAGAGGGGCGAGGAATTATTTTGTACCTCTTTTGTTCGACCGTTGTACTTTGTGTCTATTAGCTAGTCTCGGGTTTTTCGAAAGCTGTAGGCCCACCAAATGTTGATAACGAACCTCTATGTGCTCGACCTCACAAAAACCCTACACCTAAATTTCCTCTGTAATGTCACAGGCAAAACAACTTTTTCCTCCGTACGTTGCAAGGAAACTCAGGCAAAACAAAACAAAAAAAAACAAAAACAAACAAAAAAAACGGAAAACAAAAAAAATAAGGGGCCAAAGATGGCCAAAGCAGAGGCGACCCTGACAAGCACCGCTGAGACGAAACAGCCCCATGCACTCCGACCACAGACTGTGCATACATGTCGTGCGTCAATGGCACCTCTGCCAAACTCACCCTGACCTTTTGCCCTCCAGCTCGTCAGATCTCCTCCCTCGTGGGATGTCCTTCCCCGCCTGATGTTTGCTTCCAGACTGCCTGCGGCCCGCGCGTTCACCAACGATCGAGAACGCAGCATCTTGGAGCCGACTTCGCTCTTGGATGTTGCCTCTGGTGTTGCGCAGCTTGTGATTCAATGGACTCTGCGCCGCCAGGAGAGAAGCTGGATGCCACGTCATGCCGCGTTTCGGCCAAACCAGCTCAAGAGGGCATCTGCAATAGGGCCGGTCGACGTTTTCATGGTCATTTGGCATAGTGAAGACACATTAGGCCCCAGTTAGACGTAATACTATGCAGCACCGCTCACACGAGGGGGCGCTTGCGCGAGTTTGTGGAAAAGCGCTGCACATGCGTTGTCTCGACGACTTACTGAAACACGAGAAAAAGCTGTGGGGCAGATCGGGGCAGATCGGGGTAGCATGAAGTATGCTTTTTCTCCTGCCGAAAGAAGACCGTAAGCTGGTTTCGACTCTCGCACTCGCACGAAACATGCAAAGTGGTTTAATGAGTCTGTGACGCCCGACTATGTCGTTTTTTATGTGCAGACCACTTGCAGACCCATGCAGGTTGCCATCCTCGCTGCGCATGGTGCCGGGCGAATTAGCAACTAGATCGCTTCGAACACATCAGGGCGCCGTTTACGTGCGCAAACCCAGGACATGCATCCCATACCAGAGAGTGCCGCTGGCATCGCCCCCACCTGAGGATGCAGGAAGGGCTTGTGGCATCATACACGACCCAACTCGGATCTTTCGAGCTCGTGATGCACCTCCACACAGCACAGCCCCTGGGCGACCCTCGAAAGAGTAAAGCAAAGACAATATCAAGGTTCGCGTTGTCGCGAAACTGAATGCAGAACTGTGGCTACAGGCCACAAGACAAAGTAGCCACTTGGAAAGCTGTTGGGGCCATCTCAACCACTGGGTTTCTGCAACCCAGCCAACGTGCTAAGAGCCTGACCACCATGACCCCTCCATGTGACACGGCAGGTATCCGATCACCTTGCCAGTATAGAGCCACTGTTGCAACTGAAATCTGATTTTACACAGAAACACACCCATACATTGCACACGCGCTCACACATTCATACCTTGTATGTTCGCAATGATGGGGTGATAGTCTTTCAGCTGCAGCAAATAGAGCAGGAAGCCCACCGCCATCACAAGCACACATACGTGTGATACCAAGGTAACGAAATAAACCTCAGGGTGATTCATGGACCTCTCCTGTCCAAGATGCCACGCGAAAAAAAACAATTCCAATGCCACCCACTCCGACTTTCAGAAAGCCGAGCGTCTCGATTCCAGAGTCCTGCATCCCTTAGCCAGCAAGTCATGGCTGCCAGTCTCCGACGCCACCCTGCAAAACATACTCCAAGGAGCCAATGCTTTTTGCAGAGAAGCCAGTACTCGGCAATAAGGCCAATCTTGAAGACGCCTTGTCCTCACAACAAGCCAGGCACCGAGAGGGCAATGTCTCAAGAATGAGGCCTGGGAGGCGGACCAAACAAAGTAAAAGCAAAGCCCAGTGTGTGTATCATACATTTGACGTAGTCGTCCTCGGATGCGACTCATCTTTACGCAAATCGGGTGACAGTTCTTGCACAGCCAGGCACATTCCAAGGTACTGAAGCACATGTCTCTTCTTTAGGTCAAGGTCGAGATGTCTAGATGTGCCGCGACACCGGTGGCACAGCAAGGGCTATGGTCAGCGCTGCATTGCCAAGGCCTGCCCCAGCCTGAAGCGCCAAATTTCGCCAGATGCCAGTTCAAGAGATGCAGACTTTGAGTGCACTGTTGGCTGCGATACCGTTTGCAGGCCAGCGGCTAGCAGGCATGCTTTCCTGAGGAATTTGAGCCCACCGTCGTCATGGTGCGCCTTGAACGCCTCGAATGAGCATTCGTTACGATGCCGGTGGCCTACAGAGCTCGAAAGTGCCACGTGCTCAACTGAAGCCAGGCTTCATGCAGCGCGGCAGTCAGGCAGACCTTCATGGGCCCAAACTGTTCAAAAACGCTGGCGTGCCAACAATCCACCCAGTGCCACGTGCTAGGGTGCTGGCTACGGGTACGCACAAGGTGTAGGCCGCAGCGGCAACAGGTCGCGCTGGCCAAGAGTCAAAGCCAATACAAACATTGTAAGATTTGAACATTCCTGGGCACTCAGTTGCGAAGTGGGATCCGCATGATGCTGCTAAAATTGCAACACTTGGTAACTCAAGACCTCATATGCATCAATTGAGCTGCGAGTGATGTTGTTGTCATACACAAACGCGGGCTGTGCCGCCAGTGTGACTACCCACGCCAATCCAAGCATTCCGAAGAGCATAAAATCCTTGACTGTCAAAACGCTTCAAGACAGCATCAGGACAGCACGAAAAAATCGCAGGACCTGAAGTCATTCACCACCATGTCTGTGCAAACAAGCCTCAAACAGCAAGGCCGTTACGCAGGGAGACAAGGGGGAGTCCCCAACGAGCGTCCTGACAACCAAGCTGCGATTGTGCATCTCGCAGCGTCGCACTCACGAAGGATTACACGGGGCATGTCGACGACCATCGACATCGCCCTGCTGCAGCTATCCTTCGTATAGCATTCAGGTTCCACTTTGCATTCGCAACCTCCTCTTCCATGGACACCTGGAGTGATATGCAAGCAGCGCCGGTCAATGAGCCACATTCGAAAACTTCGAGGCAGCTGACCTCTGTTGCCTCCTCTTTGGGCTCTCGAAGGCTCAGATGCATCTTGCGGCAGCCACTTTGAGCCAAAAGCTGTATGTAGAAAGTCCTAGGAGTTATTGAAGAAGCCACGCGTTGCTCCCCAAAAGCAGTTAACTCTAAAGCTGAGCGCCGCACTCTGCTCACAATGACCACCCCCATGGCTTTCAAGCAAGTGCCGTCTCTGAGCGCTGCAGGAGGCTTCGGTCAAGATGGTGGATCGCAAGACTAACACACTCGAAAGTACAGAAGAAGATGAACGAGTGAGAATGACAGCTGTTAAACATGCCAAGCACCAGTGCAGGCATTTTGCCCTCCTTGGTGTTCTTACCTGAGCACTGCCGAGATACACCCACACCTCCGACGTGGTGACATTCGACGGCCTTCCATCTTTCCGGGATAGCACAAAGCCTGAGAGCCCAGCCCTTGCCCTTGGCATGGGCACCTGAAACATGCTTTGCCAATCGGCGCAAAGCTGATGATGCGCATGGCTTGTGAAATGCCCTACTGTTCCTCGTGCGCCTGGACTTTGAGGTGCCGCTAGCCCCGCGTCCTGGCGAAGCCTCGTCAACTTCGTTCAATTTGGTCTGTCCAGGCCAATTCTTGCTGAATTCAGCACGTGCTTGAGCCCCCCACAGCAAAGGCGAGGCCATGCCGACAGCATCCTACGCAGGCTTGTGACCGGTTTCGACACCTATCTGACTGTCATCAATCCGCACAAACCGAGGGAATTGGGAACTGCATGCGTAACACCAATGCGACCCGTGCGGGGCGAGGCCCGCGCGGGGTGCAAAGGAGGAACCTTACACTCCAAACTCTACGCCGGAGCCGAAGTGGATGACTTACTGTCGACGAACCACCCCCCCACGAGATACATTGCCTTCCCAACCTCGACAAAACGGGCACCCAGCGGGCTTCTAGTTTGTTATCGGCACATGTAAGATTTTCGCCTGGGCCTGAGGGTTTTCGTTTGCATCATAGGTCATGATCTCTGTGCATTCCTGCCTTGGGGTGGAAGCCCCGGGCTACAGTTGCACAAACATAGTTCGACCTGTACAGCTTCAGATCAAGCATGCGGCTGTGTGGATGAGGCAACACGTGAAAGCGAAGAAACACAGCCAAGACTCAGGCAAGTCTCTGATGGAATCCTTCTTCTCAGCAACCTCGCGAATCTTGTGCAGAGAAAAGCCTGAAACTACAGCGTCGTCAAGGGCCTGACCTGCTCCAACAATTGTGAAGCATGTTGCGACGGGAGTTGCAACAGAGCCTGCCGAGCTGCTCTTTGCTAACGGAAATGTTTCTTCGAGTCTGTTCGGCAAGCAAACTTGCCTGAATGGCGTCGTTATTCAAGTCGACGCCAGCCTGAATGGCCGGGACAAAAGTTCCTGAATGGGTTAGACTCAAGTCCGACACCTGCTCAGCTTTCATCATCCCAACGGTGGACTGCAGCCGCGATGCCGCTACATTGATGTCCTTGTGCAATGTTGCTCTGGGAATCAAGTGCGTGAATTCGAGAAACCAAGGCAATGGCCACCACGACTGTCTTGGCTGGTTGCGGAGCCTTCACCGGCTTCGCTGTGCATGATGTTGCTGCGCATGCCATGTTTGGGATCAAGATACTCATGCTATGCCTGGCAAAATGTTTGTGCGCCACCATCCGCCTGTCAGCTGAAGAGAAAAACATCTGACTTCCTTCCGGAAACCCATCATCCCATGGCTCCTCAGGAACATAACCTCTCGCTATCGTGGCGCACACCTTCAGTTCAACTGTGCAAATTTTACCCGGCTGAGCCAGACGTATCTGGATGTTGGCAAAGGCCGGCTAAGAGCCGTGCATAATTCGAAGGGTTTTTGACGCGTCCCGCAGATACCTTTTCGGCTTCACAGTCACGCGGCACGCACCATGTCACACATGTGCCTTGGGACGCAGATTGTGCAGAAGCCTTGGCCACCAGGTTGCGGTTTCACATGCCACCACTGCAAAAAACAAACATCAAAAGCCTGTAGTCAGGTAAGTCAAGCTGCTCAGCGGCACTTTCCAAGGGCAAACTTGACCTGCAAGCCATTAACCACTTTCATGTCGGCACCAAATGACACAGTAGTGGCACACAAATTGCGCATCAATGCGTGCACCAGCACGAAAAGCAAAACAACATGAACTTTGGGTCTTTTGGGGGTTGCGCCAAACGCGCCAAGCCATGAAATATATACAATCGAGAAACAAACAGCATAAAATCGCATGACATGCTTTCCAAAATGCAACCTTCCATTCCTCTCGCGCCGGTACGGCATGGTGGGTAACCCATGTAATCAACCCACCCGACTTCACGCTGTTGGTCGGCCCTTTGCATCTGTCCCGTTTGTCAAGTAGTGCCTGAAAATGCAAATGTGGCGAACTTGGCAAGGAGCGAAAACGGCCAGAATGAGAGGGCCACATTTCGGTTTTTACGCGATTTCGTTTTTACACCATTGGAGTTTCGTCACCTTTCGCTTCGCGGCGCCTAAGCAAAGTTCTCCACCTGCGTGTTTTACTTGCACTGGACCTTACGGATTCTTGCACCCCTCCGTCGCCATATTGGCACATTACCAGGAAGAAAAAGAGAAAAAAAAAAAAAAACGGATACCACAAGGAAGACTCGGAAGGAGGCAGGCAAAAACATTGGAGTTACGTTTTCACTTCGTTTCATGGTAGTTCTTAAAATAAATTCTCTTCACGGAGTAAAAAAAATTGATGAGTGCGCCAAATGAATATTTTAAGAGGGCGCACGCATGCTGCACGCGTTCATATGCCCATACTAATTGTTGTTACACACGTAGTCTCGCCATAATACTAACACGGGCTCCAAGAACGCTCCCTTTCTGCTTTCGCCTTTGGATCTAGGACATAATGATTCGTGACGCCCGTGGTAACAACTGGATCGCAAGGTCTTTTGTTCCAAGGGGTGTGAAGGGTTAGATGAAGATATGAGAGGTAAGGTCTCAAAGTGTGATGGGTGAACAAGGCTGTGGAACAAGAGTTGGAAAAATGGGTGATTCAGAGAGGGTTTGACCTGGCATGCGATTCCAAAAAAAAAAACGTGAATGGTTAAACCAGGATATGAAAGTTGGGGTCTCAAGTGGTTGGACTGGCCTCTGAGCCGGTTAGTAACGCGTAAACCCTAAACCCTAGGCCCTAGGCCCTAATCCCTACACCCGCAACCCTAAACCCTAGGTAAAATCTCGATTAGGGAGTGTTAGTATAAGGGGGAACATCCCAACGAAGAAGGTGCACCCTTTTTGGAAACTAGCATACAAAAACGGTCCGTGTACAACAACACGCAAACGACGAAAGAGATTCAATTCGAAAATCTTCTGCGAAAAATTTCTGAGATATCGGAATGAACCTCCTCCGCTAAACCCAATACACCCCAAGGTCAGCCCTTACCCATTTCACAGCTGCTGTGCCAATGTCTGCGCGCGGGGTTCTTGCAACAAGTCTTCGGTGAGTGCACTGATGCCAACATGGTTGTAACAAAATGATGGCAGACGACGACACGTGTAATGGTGGCTAAAACCACACGCTCTTCAAGACTATGCAATCGCAATGACAGCTTGACAAATCGCACGCTAAGATCCGATCAGAGCCGTCTTCGCGGAGTCGTTGAGGTGTAGGCCTTACACCGCATCTGCACCGCCCACAAGATTGACAAAATCGTCGGACCCCAGAATTGCGCCAAGCAAATTGCAAAAATTGCGGAAAAGCTCAGAAATTTGTGAACTATGTTTGCACATGCGTGCATCAAGCCCCCCGTGCCCAAACCATTTCTTCCGCCAACATGTCGATTCTTCATAGCTCGCCGCCCCCCAGCGAGTGTGCTGCTAGGTCCACGACCCAACTGTGCAATGTGCTCCTGTTGGGACAAGCGCTGCCACTAGCGCGACCAACACAGACACTCCCAACCCCCTATAGCGCCTCCAGCGAAGCCATGACCACAGGCAAACTGTCGAATTAGAAACTTGAGCCAAGATTTTGGTGCGGAAAAGAAAAGACATGAGTCAACCGTGGCCAGCCTCCGTGGCCCATTGACGCTCTGGCAAACGCTTTTTTTCCGCACGAAGGATCCCACCCCCGCAGCCGCCTCAGCGCAACGGCAACCGACTCGGCCCTTCCAGGTCACCAAGCTCGAGGACGCCAGCGCCGTTGCCGACCGCCTGCTGGCACGTGACGGAAAGGGTTTTTTTCCCGAACGCATCGCGAGGGGCTCTTCCGTGCGGAGCCCTCTGACCCAACAACATAGAGTGAAGCGCATAGAGTGAAGTGCAGAGAGTTAAGTACACAGAGTGAAGTGCATAGAGTCAAGTGCATAGAGTTAAGTGAGTCAAGTGCATAGAGTTGAGGTGCCCTGTCCATGAAGCATTAGTACTGTTCCTGCGGTCAAAAGGGTGTATCCTGTGAACATGAGCTCTCTTTTTTTTGCGTCCGCCGCAGTCAGGGTCGGGTCGGAAGGAAGGAAGGAAGGAAGGAAGGAAGGAAGGAAGGAATCGACCAGTGGCATACGGCCACGGCCTCCCGCACTCTTCCCCGCTGAGCATCTCGGGAGGCCTCCGCAAGCGTCATCGGCCCCCTCCGCCAGAGGTTCCAGAGGGGGTACTAGTAAAAATAAAGAAAAAAGCCGGAAGTGGCCCAAGTAGGGGGTTTGGGGACGAAAGGGGGGGCCTGGGCCGGAAGAGGGGACGTGCGAATGCGGGAGGAGGCGGAAGCCTGAAATACGTGGATACTGACAACGAAACTGTGCCCCTTTTTTTACTCGAGCGCCGGGCAGAGCGTGTCTCGCTCTAAGTAGGCGTGGCCTTCGGCACACAGTGCTCCAGAGGCTGAGAGTACGAGCCGATTGGCTGCATCGTCAGCAAGGCTGGGCTCTCTACGGCAAAACTCCTGCTGAAGAGCAGTGACGGACGTGCCGCCGTGACGGCGTATGAAGGCCAAAGCCCACCTGCGAATGTGCTTAAGGCGGAGGGCTGGCTTGCGCACGGCCGAGGACCCGGCACCTTGCTGGCACTGTTCGGCCGCAGCACGGAGGTGCGACAGTAGCTCCTGTGAGGCTGTAGGTCGACGCCGGCGAGGGCTAGCGGCGAGAAGGCGTGCCCAAATGCACCAACAATCCGGGCACAGCTGGAGCGCTGGGGAGGAGCTGTGGTAGGCCCGATGTGCACCAGAGTTCCAGCGGCAGGATCCCCTGGGGTGAACGGTGATGTTGCAGGAAACGCATGCCGCAGGACCAGACTGTTTGCACCAGATGCAAGGTAGGGGCACAATGGGCAGCTCCGGGAGACGCACCCCACCGCAAGTCCAGCAGCAGGCTGAAGGTGCAGGAAGCACCGGGACACAGGTGCAGGGCACTGCCAGGGCTGAGGAGGCCTCTGACCACGAGGGCAAGTCTGGGGCCCAGGACGGCAGCGTTTCGGAGATGATGGCACCGCCATGTTGGAGGAGCAGGCTGATGATGGTAGAATCTGACAGGCGCCCACAGGGATGCATAGATCGGAGACGTGCCGCAGCGGCCTCAGGCCGAAGCAAAGCCCAGCGCAGCTCACGGATGAGTCTTTGTCCTGCGTCGGACTGGAGCCAGGCTGTGAGGGAAGAAGATGAATTACGGAGTGGCGGTCGGTCATCAACCTGACCTTCCCCGGGCATATCGCCATCAGCAGCTGGCAGAGCAGCACGGCACAAAGCTAGCCAAGTGGTAGTGCGTGCCTGGTAAGCCTGCCGAAGTTTCCGGAGGCCGAGCAGCAGGCACTGCGTGAGGCGTACCGGGAAGAATGGCAGTCCGACTCTTGGACAAGAGCTGGAGTTCATGCTGCAAGGCCCCCGGCTGGCGAAGGGTGGCATAGAGCTCGAGCTCTGCTTGTCGCAGGCTGTCTGCCTCGTGGGGGGACAGGTTGCACAGCGATACCCCCAGGAAGCGGGGGATGACACGCCGGTACGCCAGATCACTACCTCTTTCCCGGTTGGTGGCGACTCTGCTGCTGCCGGCCACATCGGTGGAAAGATTGGCTTCCCAGCCCGGAAGGGGAACGAGCCAACGCCAAGCTGAGAGCACTGGCCAACGCACCGCAGCTCCATCGGAGCAGGGAGGAGGAAGGGATGTTGGAGCAGTGGAATGCAGGCGTTGGCGCCACGTGTGGGCGGCAGCTTGTAGGGCGGGAAGCGGCTGGATTGCTTGGAGCTCTGCCTCTACGTCATCACGCAGGATGTCTACTAATGGAGCCATTGCGGGGGCAGGCCAGGGTCGGGTCGGTCGAGTCCACGGGTCCCCTTCAAGGGCCCGAGGGAGGGACCTAGGCCCGGCTGGGCAGACGGCTTGGTGCCGGGACCTCGCTCTCGCTCCAGCGGGCGTCAGCCAGGAGCTCGTGCAAGGCTGGGGGTGTGCCAGCAGCACAGGGCTCAGACGGGACGGGGAGCTCGAGGAAGGTAGCCGCAAGCGCGCTCTGCGCAACGACGGAAATGATGCCCCTCCACCGGAGGACCCAAGCAGCCTGGGCAGAAGCCCTCAGCGCGAAGGGGGTGCCGGCCGCCCGCGCACGAGCAAGGAGGCGCACGAAGGTGGCAGCTTCGAGTCCCACCGCCCCCCGACTTCAAGCCCGAAAACGACGAACCGAGCTCTCTTGGGGGATTTTCTCCTTGTCCTAGAGGTAGAAGAGAGAACAAGTAAGCGATTTAATAATAGAATTGTAAGGAACGCACGAATTCTATTAAATGTGCGGGCGATTTTAATAATAATATAGTGAGCCCGCAGTAATTATAATGCCGTGCGAAAAAGGGAAAAAGTAATAATAATATACATAGAGTAAATAGAATTCATGAGATTTTATTTAGTACAATTTTGCACAAGCTAATGGAATTTACGAGATTTTAGTAAAATTTTGTCGACCTTCGTACCCAGTCCTACATCTCTTTTTTAACATTACCTTCTTTCAGGCGGCAGGCTGGGTTGACGTCGTCAATCGGGAATGCAACCCTCTGCGGGTTTCGGCGTGGTCTTCATGTGGATTTCCGCGCCCATGACAGAAGCGAGGTTTTCGCGCACACGGAATGTCGCTTCCATACTATTTGCGAGGTTTTCAAGCATGCGTAATTCCGCTTCCATGTTATTTGCGAGGTTTTCGTGCGCTCGGAATTCCGCTGCCATGCTACTTGCGATGCGATGCGATGCGATGCGAAATTCCGTCTCCATGATATGTGCGAGGTTTTTGCGCACGCGTATTTCCGCTTCCATGCTATTTGCAAGGTATTCAAGCATGCGTTCCGCTTCCTTGCTATTTGCGAGGTTTTCAAGCATGCGGGATTCCGCTTTCATGCTATTTGCGAGTTTTTTTTTTTTTGGGCGAGGTTGTCGCGCACGCGGAATGCGTACTACGTTTGTGCTACACAAGTCGACCTTCCAGCCACGGAAGATCCGGGCGTCCCCGGCGTATTACATTTTACTAGAAAAGTCGACCTCCGCGCGCAACGCGCGCCGCCAGCTGTTCGCGCTGGGCGGCTGGTCCAGGCGAATGCAAGGTATCCTCTCCATCGCAGTCCAGCAGGCCGTCGCGGGCACGGCCCTCGGACGCGCGTGGCCGGCCCAGCCGCAAGCGGGACCGGGAGCCGGGCCCAGCCTGGAAAGGGTCTTGGACCTCGCCGGGAGCGCTGGGGCGAGTCGGCTGCCGATGCGGCCGTAGGAGCTTGAGGCACGGACATCACAGGCAGCTGGAAAAAGGCGCGAAAAAAAAAAAAAAAAAAAAAAAAAAAAACCTTCCAGCTACTGAAGCTCCGGGCGTCCGCGGCGTAGTGTTTCGACATCCTGTCCCACGATTACTACTTTTGTACTACAGAAATGGATAAGCCCGCGGCGGCCCCTATTCAGTACTACATTTTGTACTGCAGAAGAGGATTTTGAGAGGGGGACGGTCCTGAAAGACGGCGCCGGCTCTATTTAGTACTGCTTTTGTACTACAGAGATCTACAGAGGAAGAATTTTCCCTGCACAATACTACTTTTGTACTACAAGGGACGTTTACGGTCACGAAGAAAACGCAAAAACACGAGGGTTTTGGCACCGTGCCATGCAAAAACCCGCAGAAGGGTTGTTTTAGCAACGCGACAGCCCAGAGGGTTGACGCGCCCACCAAAAAATGTGCAAAAAACGATGGTTTTAGCACCGCGACCACGCCGAAACACGCAGAGCGTTGTCCGCGCAAAGCAAGAAACATCAAAAAACGGTGGTTTTAGCACCGTGACCACGCCGAAACCCCAGAGGGTTATCCGCGCACAGCGAGAAACGTGAACAAACGACGGTTTGAGCACCGCGACCACGCCGAAACCCGCAAAGGGTTGTCCGCGCACAGCAAGAAACGTCAAAAAACAAGGTTTGAGCACCGCGACCACGCCGAAACCCGCAGAGGGTTGTCCGCGCACAGCAAGAAACGTCAAAAAACGATGGTTTGAGCACCGCGACCACGCCGAAACCCGCAGAGGGTTGTCCGTGCACAGCCAGAAACATCAAAAAACAAGGGTTTGAGCACCGCGACCACGCCGTAAAACCCGCAGAGGGTTTTCCGCGCACAACAAGTTAGCTCCTGCGTTATCATCCGAGCTGGTCATGCGCCGTGCCTTGGAGACCAGTTCGTATTCGTATTGCCTGAGCCATACCTTGCATCAGGATGGCGTCATGTCTCCGGCATCGTACGGGGTGCTCCCGGGATCGGGTCTTCGACGTGTCTGGCAGTGGACTAGGCATCAGGTTGTACAGACCTTGCAGCAACGTGCCCATGCGAGTTACCGCGCAGACTTGCTGGCAGTACCTTCGCTGGCCAATTATGCGGTCTATCAGCCTCGATTGCATTGCCTGGTCAGCATACACTCCTCCGGGCTCCCCATCTCCGCAGTCCGAGAGTGGACCCTGGCCCGGTGTGGCCATCACCCATTTACGGATGGTAGGAGCGCCCGTCATTCGCACAGGACGGACTCTCTGTGCCTTTGTGGTGACCAGTGCAACCTGCTTCACGCAATTCGAGCTTGTCCATTGCTGGCCTCGCAACGGCGTCACTGGCTCACTCGTCTGGGGTTACAGCGCGTTCCTCAGTTTGGAGATGATGAGTTGCTTCGCTGGAGCTTTGACCCCAGCTTGGTTCTGAACAGTCGTTCATCTGTCAATGCTCATGTCCACTATGTGGCAGCCATCTGCCGGCGGGCTTGCAGCTATGAGCGTAGTACTGGATTGTTCGGCGGCCAATGTGCCTGGCCGTTTGTAGTGTATATATGTACTGACCGTCAACGGTTGTTCAAGGACAGACTCTTCAAAACCTCGCAAATGGCATGGAAGCGGAATTCCGGATTCCGGATATGCGAAAAATGCGAAAACCTCGATTTTTGTAGTACAGACGTAGTAGGATACCCGGAGCTTCCGTGGCTGGACTTTTGTAGTACAGATGTAGTACGCCGGGGACACTCGGAGCTAACGTGGAAATATCGTGGGACTTGAATTCCGGGTAAAACGTCGCGGGACTCGAGTTCCGGGATGTCGAAACCCTCGCAAATACCATGGGACTCGAATTCCGCAGCCTCGAAAACCTCGCAAATTCGTGGGACTCGAAATCCGGGATATCGAAGCCCTCGCAATATCGTGGGACTCGATTCCGGGAGCTTGGACTTCAGAGCGACTGCCGATGATGCTCATGGCTAACGGCTATCCTTTTGGATGTTTTTGTCTTTTCTTTCATGGCTTCGCGTGGTTTGGACGTGCGCAGCCGAGTCGGGTGCATACAAGTGAAGTTCATACAGTTGCTGCGTTAAGTTCAAAAATGTCGAGTTCAGCGATGGGCGGCGCTCCTGGCTGTTGCGGCCGTTAACTTCAGATGTATTGAAGGAGAGGCGGATCTCCATCGACGTTTGGTCGCCAAAGCACGGGCACGGGCGAATGCCAGGACACGGGGACAACTTTGTTTGCCTTTCTATTGGAATTTGGCGAGACACATCACCAACTTGCCTGATGCAAGATGGGTTGGACGTATGTGGATGACTTGCCTGGAGAATTGCGTTCGCTTCCAACCCTGGGCCAACTGGGAAGTAAGTAAGTAAGTCCTGCATGCCCGTCGGCGGCCTCTTAGAGGAGCAGGCAAAGAACGCAACTTTACATGGTGTCAAACTGCATTTGAGCATGACAACTGGGAAACAGCAGCTATGAACAACAATATGCGGAATGAATCACGCGATGATTGTCCCGTTTAGTGCTTGGGCAGGGCAGGCTTTGGTGAACTGAGATCAGTCTGCACTGCACACATGTCAATCAGCATGCGCAGCATTTTGACTTGATGCATCCGCTGCCGTTGATTACCCAAGCCAAAATATAGGAACGCCCACGAATTGTGGATACCGACGTGTGGAGTTGTTCTTTCCTACCCTCCACCTTAGACCTAGGACAGGGCTCTGCCCTCCTAGCTTCCCCCACTCCCACAAGTCTGTGTAGGGAGAGACCTCCGGTGGAGAGTCTGAGGAGTCGGTCATCGTTGTTGACCACTTGGAGTTAGATGGGATTCGAGGATGCGACTGCGGGGCTGCCACGCTCCGGCAGCAGTGCGCCGCAGCGCGGCGAGCGGTTGAGCGCGCCGTTGGTGGGGCTTTTGTCCGTCGCGGTCCAGGTGGCCGTTGCCGAGACCGCCTTGGGCACGGCCGCAGCAGGACTGCTGCCTTCCGACGGTGCCGCCCCTGGAGGCCGTGCTAAACCAATTCCTGCTCCGGGTCCTGGCGCACTCCGTGATGGTTGAGTTTGCGCGGAAACACGACGACGGAATCGCTCACTGGCAGACCTCCAGGCGCATGACACCCCCAGGAGCATTTGACGACCTCGCTGGCAGAAGCTGCCAGACGTGCAGCGCTACCTCTGAAGCTTGGAGGCCTGGGGCTACGTCGCGCAATGGAAGCACGGTGTGCAGCGTACTCGGCTTTTTGGGCAGACACCCAGCCAATGCTGCGCCAGCGTCACCCGCACGTTCCGACGGACATCCTCTGCTTTGTGCAGGTCGTACGCGAGAGCTCACGGCGATCCCCACAGAGAGCGCTTCCACCCTCCCGCCAGACGTGATGCTGCTAGCTCTGCGGCGAAGGCTCTGCGGCGAAGGCTCCGCCTGCCCTTGCCACTGGGCCCGGGCGAATGCGGTCAGTCGTGGCACGGATGTGGCAGAAGGCTCGACGCGTGGAACTTGACGCCTTGGGAGACCACCGCACGGCCCCGGTCTGTCCTCGGGCGCGCCGTGCCGTTCCGCGATACCGGACTTATGAGAGTGGTGTCAACCGCGACTTGCGCGCCTTGGTACAAGGGGAGACCGTTGGCCAGCACGTCAATGCGGCGAGCATCCGCCAACGGGACATCGAGGAGCCGCAGCCGGGCGCCGCCGCCCGCCCTGGCGCGGCAGTCCAGGCTGCCGCTCGTCGCAAGCGGCGCCTAACATACCCCGAGCTCGCGAGCACGCGACGGGCGCCTCGTCGCTGTCGGGGTTGAGGTCGGCGGGCGCTTCGGTACTCCGCCACCTTGCGCGGCACCGCGCTGCCAGCCTCCCGCCGCCGCTCCGGGCCGCTGCCAGTGCCGGCTGGGTCCAGCGCTGGTCCGGCCTCCTCGCGCTCGCCGCTATGCGCGCCTATGTGCTCCCTCCTGGAGCTGCCGCCTGGGAGTGACCTCTGCGCTGCGGGAGTGGCGCCTGACCTGCACGAGGTCCTCGCTGAGGTCGCGCTGCTCGCAAGCCGCCTCCCGGCGCCTATAACCGGCCCGTAATTGGTAGGCTTCTTGCACTGGGACCGCGGCTACTGTCCGTAAAAAGGCGCGGAAGAAAAAAACTAAGAAAAAGCTGGGTTGTGGGGGGTCTAATTCGGGCAGGGGTTAACTAGTTCGGTGGGGGGGTGGCAGCCAGGCCTGTCTAATTGAGGAGGTTTACTAGTTTGGGGTGGTTTACTACTGGGGGTAGTTGGGCGGGGAAACCAAACTAATGAGAGGGGGAAGTAATGCTCAACAATATCGATGAATGATCGAAATAATGCTTTCAAGCACACTGGAAACTTGCATCACACATTGCTTCATTTCCAGCTCACCGCTGGGTGTGTATTTCACTGGATTCCCATTCCTACGTTTCCCCGTGTGGGGCGACCGAGTTGGGTGACTGGTTTACAATTGCAAAAGAATGAATGAGACCTGCCGTTTGGCTGTACCATACTGTACCATTGTAAAAGAAACACGCCAATGGATGACTCATTTGGATGCCTTCGTCGAGTTTACTTTGCGCTCTTGAGCTCGGCCGTAGCTGCTTGTGCGTGACTATGGTAGCCTTTTGCCTGAGCCCTCAATGGGCCGCTTTCGGGCTTTCGGGCCTGGCTGACTGACTGACTGCCGAGGCGCACGACGCGGCTGTGTGGGGGGCACGCTGCAGGCTTGTTTTGAGCCGGCCGAGGACGTGGAGCGCCCGGCACGCGCCATCGCACTCTTGCCTGCAGGCCTAGGAGGTCTCAACACGCGCAGCCCCGCAGCTTACTGGGCTGCGTGGGCTGATGCTTGCCGTCCTCAAGGTCCGCTGCCCCAACCTGGCCGCGGGTCACCAGTGGGGCGAAACCGCCGGGACCCCAGCCCGACGCCACTGAGCCTGGCGGGCGGGGGCATGGATGGCAGTTTCACGCATCGCGTACTCGGAGCCGTTTCTCCCACGACCACGCGTCTTTGTCGCCCGCTCATCGCGCTCATGTGCGTTCACAGGCTGGGCCCCATGCCGGCCGCAGCGTTGCGGTGGGGATGGCGCACAGTCCACCCCAGGGTGTGGCCGCCTCGTCGATGAGCACGGCGACCATGCCCTGGCTTGCCCGCACGCGCCCCGCGCCAAGATCGTCGAGCGCGCGTATGTGCGCGTCGCACGCGAGGCTGTCGGCCCGGAGGGCCAAGTCCGTGCCTGGAGTACCTCCAGGGGACCGTCGGCGCCTAGACCTCGTCGTCTATGGGGCGACTGTTGGGAGGGCGCTTTTGTTGCGACGCCACGCTCGTCTCGCCGCTGGCGAGGGACGGCACGCCGCATTGTGGGGCGAGGGCACGTTCTTGCGTGGTGACATCTTGAAAACAGCACTGATGATTCTGACGTCAAGGCCGTCTGTTGAGACACCTGAACTTCCAGCAAAATTAAGCACTCATGTGGACAGAATATGATGCTCAGCATAAGATTCAGGGTCGAGGGGAAAAGCCACTTCTGGGCAAAAACCCCTGACCCGCTCTTTTTACTAAGTACCGCCAAGATGTCTGTATCGCATCAATGGCCCAAAAAACGACCCCCCTCCGCCCCTAGCTCCCCCCCAGAAACGGACCCGGCACCTTAAACGCAACGCCCCGGCAAACACAGAGACCAGAGCAACCAACTGCGCAAGCCAGACACCCCAAAAAAACCAAAGCAAGGATTCGACATGACCCAAAAACTGACCAAAAAGCAGGCTGCCAACGATGGATGAGCACCAGGCTATCACCTCACAACTCAGCCAAAAGCGGTGCGACACCAGTAGCCGCCGGCAAGCAGCGGGGCACTGCCCTCCCAGCACGTGGTCGGTTTTCATTGACGTGCTTCATAGTGCAGGCCCAGGCTGTCAAGACTGCGTCCGGACTAGCAGCTGCTCCGATAGAAAGCACGGCGCCAGCATTTCCAACAGCGAGTTGAAAAGCTTTGAAGGTGTCTGTCTGAGTTCAAACCATGCGTGCTTGACTACTTCGATGAGGGAAAAAACTTCTGGCGCAGTGGCTCTGCATGCGGATGATCTGTGTCTAAAAAGGAACAAGCACTTTGAGAAGAATGTGGTTGGACGTTGCTTTCAAGAACTGGAAATATTGAAAAATGGGTCCGGATAGGAGGCGCTGTCCATGGAGCTGGATGCTATCCGGGCTCGCAAACCACTATCGCAGATACTCATGTGGATACAGCCCATGCAAGTTTGGTTCACGGAAGTTCTTTTCGACTTCCAAGCGTGTCGACTTCCTTTTAGGACAGGATCGGCGCAAGACAGATGGCAGGCTTGCAGGCATCTGATTTTTTTCCTGCCAGGTCGCACCAGCAATCATCGGCACGTTGATGCTAGCAGCCCTGTAGGCTGTGCATCTCATACGGTGGCCTAGTCAAATCTAGCCTACTTGTCGAACTCTTGGCCTAGCAAAAGTTCGGTGACGTTCAAGTTGCAATTGCAGCTTGCATGTCGTAGAGACATTTGCAAGACAGGAACCTCAAAATCCTGCGGGCTTCATTGACAGACTCATCTTTCCATTGTCCGCGTCCACAGATTCAATGCGCACTTGCACTTCCTGACCCTCCGAAAGCTCATCTTCCACCTGCGCACACGACTTACATTACAGGTACTCTGTACTGGACAAAGCCCTCTCTGATAGTGATTGTTTGCTTCAACCTATGAGGCAATATGACATGATGCGCCGTTTTCAGAACGTTCTTGAGCTGAGGTCTGCACGCTCTCCACGAATCCATCCCGAATCTGTGTGATGTGGACGAGGCCATCTGCTGAAGCATCATTTGCAGTGACGGTGACGAAGGCTCCGAAAGGCGCCAATCTGGCAACCTTTCCTGTCAGCCACTCATCTGACGAGATTGCCTCAAATGCAGAGAGATCAGCAGGTTCACGGAAGCCTCCACCTCCACCCCCAAAACCGGAGCGCATGGAGAGACTCATCCTGCCAGCATCAACATCCACCGACTGAACGCGCACTTGCACTTCTTGACCCGCAGAAAGCTCATCATCCACATTGTCCACGAACCCATCTTTTATTTGTGACACATGGACAAGGCCGTCAGCAGATGCTCCCCCTTCTAGTGTGACAGTGACAAAGGCACCGAACGGAGCTGTTCGCGAAACTACCCCCTTCTGCCACTCATCGGGTGAGAGGTCCTGAAACGGAGTGAGGTCTGCGGGAGCACGACGACCACCCGCGTCGTCCGTCATTCCTTCAACCATTGTTAAACCGAACTTGCCGTCATCCCGCTTCCCACTGATCCAGACTTCTACTTGCTGCCCCTCTTGGACAAAATCGTACACATTGTCAATCCTCTCCGAAGACATTCTGGATATGTGGAGCAATCCATCCGATTCAGCACCAATGTCAACAAAGGCACCAAAATCGAGAACTGACCGAACGGTTGCTGTGTACTTCTGGCCCACTTCGAGCTGTTCGAAAGGAATTGGTGGGTACTTCATGTCCTGCGGCTGCACTTCAGAGGACTCCGGTCCGCCATCTGGATCATCCCACTTGACGGTAAAGGTCCCGTCATCGTTGAGCTTGGTAACCTCGCCAGTGTACCAGAGGCCGTCGTCAGGAAAGACAGCTTCAACTGCCTCTCCCACCTTGTAGTCCTTGTAGATGATGATCTTCTTGACGCTCTCCGCTGCCAAGTTATGCGATTCTGGCCCACCATCAGCGTCGTCCCACTTGACGGTGTAGGTGCCATCATCGTTGACCTTGTCGACAACGCCAGGATACCACTGCTCGTCATCTGGGTAGAGGCCTTCGACTGGGTCACCGACAGCAACAGCCTCATCCTCACCGCCCCGGGCCCATAGCCGGACATCTCGGCTGCCCGGGCCAGAGGGGCCGTGCAGCTCAAACTTGCGCTGTCTCAAAAAACTCCGGCTAATCGATCCAGGTACAAAGGCTGGAGCAAAGAAGCAAACAAGAGCCAAGAGAAAGGGCAAGGGCCGCACGGGCCGCAAGGACGCACGAACACGCCTGCCAGGAACTGAACGCATGACTTGGCGCATGGCAGGGGGCTGCACTCGTAACTCTACAAAACCCTACAAAACTGTGCCAAAATGCGAGGCGAAGGCTGATGCTTTCACATGGTCTGCTTTATTTACAAAGGCACTTGGCAATGTGCGGACTTTGCAGTGCACTCTTAAGGCCATGCGGGGATTTTTCTCTAAGTGGCATCAAGCGTTTCTGTGCCAGCAGCGCCGCCAGCTATACTCGGCACCACAATCCCAAAGCGGCTGCTGGTGCCAGGGCCATCTGCAGGGTCAAACAACCGAAGGACACGAAAGGGGCGGTACCACAATGCCAATGTCTGCTCCCATCTCCGGCCTCCTTCCATCCGTTCTTTGGGCGGCTGGAGCTCCTCCTCGCTGTGCGCGTAGCCACAAGAGCTGCCCCGTTCACAGAAGCCCTGGCCACAGCAGCGCGATCACTTTAGACACTCGAACCTTCTTCATCTTTCTACATTACATATGTGGAAGCATCACCACTGCTCACGCGAAGTAATACAAGTCGAGACATGCTTGTGAAGCACGGGCAAGCAAAGGCAAGTAGTGTAGTGGTTTGTGCTGCAATCTCCCACAGCCTGCTTGTGGAACTGGCACATCTTTGTCTTGTAGAAAGCATGTCGTTCGCGTGGACGCGCAGCACCTTGCTCAACTGCCCTAACCCGAGCAACAACGGGTCAAGGAAGCCTCGTTGACATGTCAGCCGGCCTTCTTCTTTCACCACAGCCCCCGCAGCCCGCGGAGCCGGCAACTCACTCTCGTCATGCGCATACTTGCACTGAGCCCCACTTGTGCAGTTGCCCTGCAGGGCCAGTTCGCGACAGACGGAGTGCCACATCTCTATCCCTCCGGCACCTATAAGACTGTCCAAAGGGGCCCACAATTGTGCCAATTTCGTGATAAAGGTTCACTAATTTCACTCAGGTCAGGCAGCATTGACAGTTGCACCTGCGGGAGTTCTGCATTCGACCCTCATGGCCTCGAGGAAGAACTTGCACATGCGGGTCTTGTAGTGGTCCGGCCTATACTCTCCAGCGAAATTCCTCCAACTTGGCACTGCGTCTTCTCCAGTGATGGTTGCAACAACCTCACTCTTCGATGGAGAAGCCTTTGGTATGAAAACCCAGGTGCCGCCTGACAGAGTCTGACAAATGCCCTATCAGCCCAACAACTTTCGGAAGTCATGCGGAGCCACGAGCAAAGCTACTTTCAAATTTATTCTTACTATTTCTTACTCCGGCTGCCGCCTTCGGCCCGCTGCTGCAGCTCGTGCTCCCCGTGAGCAAAGGTGCACTTCTCACCATTTGCACAGAAACCGCCCAGAAAATACCTGCAAAGAGTGCCTCGGCTGTTGGCTTAGTGTTTTGCATGTTGTGCGCAAAGTATTTGCCTCCTACCTCCTGACTGTCCATGACAAAGAACTTTAGAAAGCCTCAAGTAACTTAAGTATCTTCAAAGTGCGTTTGAAGTCTATGTTGGCATCTGCCGAGGGCAGTGCAGGTGAAGCTTGTCGAACCGGCGGCGAAGGTGGGCCGGCAAGTCGGTCTGGAGGTAAAACCACCTGCGGGACCCTTCTTTGTGGCAAAGTCGCTCGTGCCGGCACCCTTTCGGCCGCCACGTCTTCGACCGCTCGGTCTTCTTCGTGCGAGTAGGGGCAGTCTGCTCCTGCATACACACTTCCGACTCTGCTACCTTTTCATTCTTTTGAAGCGTTGCCATAAGATATTTCTCCATCTTGACTTGGTCCCTACACACGTGCGTCTCAAGCGAAGCATCCTCCATACATAAAATGCCATCTAAGCAATCTTTGCCTGGTGGCTCGCAAGAAGAACATGTGCAGCGTATCATGCATGTCGGTCCCAAGTGCGCATTGCAACTTCCTGAAGCGACATGAAGCTTCACAAGTCTCCGATGTCTCCTTTTGCACAACGGCCGACTCTGAAGAAGGCACAAAGTGGCCTTGGGTCGAGACTGCAATACACTGCATCACCATGGCCTCAAGAGCTCTCTCTAACCGCTTTTGCAAACAGGGCACTTTGACTTGTCCGTCTTCTGGCGCTTGACAGGCTCCATGCCAAACCCTTCCAAGTCTCGTTTGGATGCTCGCGACCTGGCAAACTCATAGTATCTCGGCCAGACCCCCCAACCTTGAGGAGGCAAACACCAAATTTTGTCCACGTAAGCCCTCTCCATGCCTTTCGGCTTGAAGCGGCAGCATGGAACTGCCCTACCAGACCACGTCAAATTTTTGCATCTGCAGCCGAGCTGCACCCATCAGCTCTCATCGAGCAAAACTTACTGCAAGCCTCCCCCGAACCCACCGTGGCACATTCTTCAAGCCACCCTCATTGTTTGAAGCCGAGGAGCGGAGATGCAACCGGAGCTTGCGTGGGACTGCCAGGACTGCCTGGGAGAAGCAAGGGGCTACAACAGCTACTTAACGGGCCCAGTTGACTTTCTGAACTGTTGATCATTGTTGCATCCCAGCTGCTCCAAGCCACTGCATCTGCCAACGTCGACAGACCGCTAGCAGCAGCACCGGCAACCAGCTCATCTGTGCCATGTGCAAAGGTGCAGCCAGAACCTCTTGTGCAGTGTCCCAGCTCGTAATATTTGCACAGGGCGGTTTTGAAGCTCGCCTGACAATTCTCTTCAACAACGCACAGCGGATCTGGCAAACACATTCCCTCTTCACATCGACAGTTGAACGTGAAGCAGACTGTCAACATGTGCTTAGATTTTGCAGAGACTGCTCGTGTTGGGACCATTTCGGGTAAGTCACTCGTGCAGCAACAACAGCAGCAGAAGCAACGGGGACTTCTTGCCAATCTTGCCGCTCTTCCCAGACCACTGCATGCAAATATGGGCAATCAACACCTCTGTTGCAATTACCTGGGCTGGCACGAAACAGGATTTTGAAAGACTCTGCAGGACCTCACCGAAAAGGCCGTTGCGTATTTGCTTCCGTGTGCAGCCAAGCATCCATGCTGCCAGTACTTGCACGGGAACGATTTGAGTTCCGCACCAGCCTTCCGATGAGCAACGCAATGCATGCAAAAATTGAAAATCGTCCAATTTGACTTGGTGACATCATCAGGCCTGCAGCTCTTGGTCACCATGCGCGTAGTTGCATTCGGCGCCTTTTTTGCAAGTGCCTTGATCGTAGTACTTGCACAGCGCCGTCTTGAAAGCAGGAAAACTCGTTTTGAAGCTTCCGTCCTGCAGGTCAGGCATCCAAAGCACTTCGATTCAAGTTCTATGTAACGTGAAGACTGCCACTTTGTTTCACTGGAAATCGACATGCCAATCCGATGCCAATCCGGTCCCGAGGTCTCATCGAATGCATCGCTTGCTAAGCAGATCATCTACCGCGATGCCCTCAGGTTTGTGGATGGGTTGCTTTCTGCTTAAAGACTCTGGTTGTACAGCTCGTTTCGGACTGCGGCATCTTTACGTCCACGCTTTTGAGCTCTTGCTCGCCTCTTTCGGGTGGGATGTGCCTTGAGCCAATCACCACCAAGTGTTGACTTGTTTTCGGGTTTCGGGGTTGGGGGCTGGGTTAACATGAAGCCACCTCGGCCCCCCCTCTCCCCCCCTTTTCCCCCCCCCCAACAGTTCTGGGATGCACACTGCTACAATAGCCTTTTGCTATCACATATATGTCTCACCACCCTGCAAGGAAGCTTCAACAACCGCGCTGCTGTCAGGCCACGGCTTGTTCAGCTGAAGCGCTCAGCAAGTGACACCCAGACAACAACACATTGACGCAGTTTTCGCAACTGTTTCCACAATGCGCACGTCAATCTGATAAGGTTCCGGTCCGCATGGTCTGCATGGAACACTCGAGGGTGTCATTGCTCACATGTTGTACACAGAGGTAACATGCATGTAACTCGAGAAGGCGACTCTGATGGCACCATGCGGACAATGGTTTTGCAGTCTCCATTTCTTCTGATGCGCACACACATCGCGGAATCGTCGAATGCCTCAGGCATTGGCCACTCGTGGGCTCTCCAGGTGTCGCAACCACACATGTTAGAGAACCATCAGAGTACCGAAAACGCCCGGCCAACGTGCAGATCCCAGACGACTCAAGGGTGTCTCATCTATCTGTCTCAAACCGAAGGAAGAGAAGAGGTGAACTCGCACGAGACCTTACACATGCTGCAGCAAGCCAGCAAATTTGGGGTGCACTGTGCCAGTCTGTTACTTGCTGACTTGGAGTTCTGGGCCGGTACTGTAGTGGCGCGTACCGTGACATGCTGTGACGCGCTGCAGCCAGCGGGGCGTGTTGGAGTTTAAAGCCAGTCGTCACACATTTCTCTCGGATCCCTTGACACCGGGTGGTTTCTTCTGCTTATGCGGCTCAGCGTCTTGTGCGCTTCGCCTTGCCTGGCCTGCCACTTGGGATAAGGAGAGCAAAAGGAGTAAGAAGCAGCACGCACACGTCCAAAAAGCACCTTGGGGACTCAGGCGTTTGCCGACGCTCCGCATATTGTGGACCCTCTGCCGAGACAATTCGAGACCCAGAGCACCCAGTGCTGCTTAAGGCTGCTGGCTCAATGTCCAGCATGTCCCGCATCTGCCTTGAGGCAGTGATGTCAAGGCTGCTCTGTCTGCTCTGTCTCCTTTTGGGAGCCCTCCCTTTGGGGTATGGCATGGCATCCCATCATTGATTGAATCGAACTAACTGAATGGGTCAACTGCAGCTGAGTCTGGCCCTAAAGGCCCTAAAGCCTCCCTGAAGCCAACAACATTCGGTCAAGGCCGCATCGAAGGTCAAACGAGCGAACAAGGCTCGATCTGGCTGAACCGCTGCAGATAAGGTCAACAAAGCCACTTTGCCCTCTAAAGGCTTAACTTTGGGGGAGTTGAGAAAAAAACAGCGGCACGGGAACTTTTGAATTGTTCCCCAAACAGTGCTTGCACAATGGGGCTCTTACGTTCAGAGTAAAGAATTGGTTGCTGACCGCAACGGCGCGCGCGGCGCGGGGCCTTGGTTT